GCGTGGTGGTGAGCAGAGAAGTTCTCTTGTTAGGTGACTCGGGACTGGTGTGTTTTGCCTGAGGTGTGTGATGGGATACATAGGAGCCGCTGGTTTGTTAGCAGGAAGGCTTGAGGCGTATCAGTGAACTTGAAGAAATCACATTATGTTAGAGTAGGCAGATGTTTTATTTTTGAATAGTTTTGCAGGAGTTATCGTATTTGATCATTAAGGTTTTTGTTTCAACAGAATTATACTTTAGCTTTAAAACTTGAGGATTCAGAAAATTTTTTTTTTAATCAGATTTAGAGTAGGTTACTTGTGTTATAAGAAAGTCTTGTTTCTAAGTATTCTCGCTGATATAATCAATAAGTTCAAAATCAGTTTACAAAAACTCTTGTCACACAGTTTGAGTGTGTGACGCAGTTACTTATTACAGAAAGTACTACTTTCTGTGTTAGAAAATTCCTGGTTTTAACCTTGAGTTAAGCTAATAACTAGAAAAGTAGTTTATGCTTCTTACAAGCAGTTCAAATGTATAGAAATGGAGGAAAATGTAAAAGCCTCATTCTGCTCCTTGTTATACTAGTTTTGATGTGTATTTTTGCAAAATTTTTCTGTACACTTACAAACATGTGCAACATATGTAAAAGTATATGTTTATATGTACACAAACATACCAGTGTTTTTAAGACTATATGGCCTCTAGTTACTACATTTTCATTAACTGGAAAGTTTGGCAATACTTTATTACCAAACATAGTAAGTTCTTGTAATGCTTTCATTGAAAGTACAAGTTCACTGAATGGTATGTGCACAGGTGAATTTGGTCCGCTGTACTGACTTGCTCCTTGGAAGAAAAACTGACCAACCTAGACAGTGTCTTAAAAAGCAGAGACATGACTTTGCCAACAAAGGTCCATCTAGTCAAAGCTATGGTTTTTCCAGTAGTCATGTATGGATGTGAGAGTTGGACTATAAAAGAAAGCTGAACACCGAAGAATTGATGCTTTTGAACTGTGGTGTTGGAGAAGACTCTTGAGAATCCCCTGGACAGCAAGGAGATCCAACCAGTCCATCCTAAAGGAGATCAGTCCTGACTATTCATTGGAAGGACTGATGCTGAAGCTGAAACTCCAATACTTTGGCCACCTGATGCGAAGAACTGACTCATTGGAAAAGACCCTGATGCTGGAAAAGATTGAAGGTGGAGGAGAAGGGGACGACAGAGGATGAGATGGTTGGATGGCATCCCCGACTCAATGTACATGGATTTGAGCAAGTTCCAGGAGTTGGTGATGAACAGGGAGGCCTGGCGTGCTGCAGTCAACGGGGTGGCAAAGAGTCGGACATGACTGAGTGACTGAAGTGAACTGACTGGCAGACAGAGGGGCTGACAAGGGCACAGTTGGTAAATGAAGTCCCTCATTTGGTCTGTGAAGGAGTTCTCTGATGCTGGGAAAGTAGAAAGGAGCCATGTAAGTGTCTTGAGGATTTGAAGAGTTGGACGGGGAGGCAGGAGCTGTGGCTCTGCCCCGCCCCTGCTGGTGAACCTCAAGGCCTGTCGTGCGGTGACTATGGGACAGCTGGCCGTGCCCCAGACGGGAGCAGGGCCGGGTGGGCGCAGACGGGGCAGCTCACTTCCACCTTGGGCTCTTCTCCTGCGCTTGTCTGTCTTCTCTTGTCCCCTTCCTTGGGAACAATGTTTTTAAGTTTCTGTTGATTTTTATTTTAAGACTTTATACATTAAAACTTTATTATATACACCTCCCCCCTCCACCCCACCCCCCTGAATGAATGGTAGCCAGTTGTACCTGCTTTTCTGTGTATTTTCACTGAAAACAAAAGTTGGGAGTTACCCCACAGAATTACTCCAGCAGCTCTGGCAGCCCCCACCTGCACTGCTCCTCGCTCCTATAGCCCTGCAGCCCCCGTGTGTGGGCCTGTCTGTCCCAGCTGGCCTCTCGGGGCGGTGGTGGCTGCCCCTGGCATGCCGCACACGCATTGTTTTTCTAGGCCAGATCCTGAGAAATGGGATTGCCAGTTCATAGGGTGGATGGATGCACACGGAATTTTGTCATTACTACTTCCTTATTATTTTGTGTTCATGGACACTAGCTCTTTCCTGTGGCAAGCTTGAATGTTAAGTAAAACCAGTCTCAAATTGCTCTGTCTGAGTCTTGGGTGGAACACTAGGTCTGGTAATAGTATTTTATTGTGAACTGCTGTCTGGTTTTCTGAACTTTGCCATCAGCTGTTTCAAGATTTGTACAACCTCTGGTGTGTAGATTCTTCTTGTTCGGTCATTCAGTCATGTCTGACTCTTTGCCACTCCATGGACTGCAGCACGCCAGGCTTTCCTGTCCTTCACCATCTCCCAGAGTTTGCTCAAACTCAAGTCCATGGAGTCAGTGATGCCATCCAACCATCTCATCCTTTGCCAACCTCTTCTCCTCCAGCCTTCAGTCTTTCCCAGTGTCAAGGTCTTTTCCAATGAGTCACCTCTTTGCATCAGGTGGGCAAAATATTGGAGCTTCAGCTTCAGCATCAGTCCTTCCAATGAATATTCAGGATTGACCTCCTTTAGGATGGACTGATTGGATCTCCTTGCAGTCCAAGGGACTCTCAAGAGTCTTCTGCAACACTACAGTTTGAAAGCATCAGCTCTTCGGCACTCAGCCTTTATGGTCCAACTCTAGATAAATCACCGTTAAACACACAGTTTCTACTTCTGGCTACCACTCAGGATCTCGTACATTTTAAGGCATGAAATCAGACTTTCAGGTTCTGCTCTTTGATGGGGGTGTGTTCTCCTGAGGGTTCGGCGGGCTCTATGAATGGTGATCTCTATGCACTTGCCACTTCCCTTGGTAGCAGAGTGGCCAAGAGCACAAGCAGACAATCTGGTTTTTCATCCCCATTCTGTCACTGGTAGCTGCCATGTAAATTTGGGATAGTAATAGTCCCAGTTTGTAGATGTATTGTAAGAATTAACTCAGGGAATATGTCTGACTAACTTAGCGCAGCACCTGCTGCACAGATAGCAGTTTATATTCAGTGGTAGTTCAGTCTGGTGCTCAGTGGCTCAGAAGAGTGTCCAACTCTTCTCTGACCCATAGACTGTAGCCCGCCAGGCCTCTCTGTCCATGGGGTTCTCCAGGCAAGAATACTGGACTGGGTTGCCATGCCTGCCTCCAGGGGATCTTCCCGACCCAGGGATCGAACCCCCAACTCTTCCATCACCTGCATTGGCAGGCAGATTCTTTACCACTGGCACCACCTGGGAAGCCCAAATGGTAGTTACTCGTATCATTTTATACAAAAATGGTTGGATCCCATCACTGACTCAATGGACATGAGTTTGAGCAAACTCCGGGAGATGGTAAAGGACAGGGAAGCCTGGATCTCTGCTGCAGCCCGTGAGGTCACAGAGCTGGACCTGACTGGGCGACTGAACAGCAACAGCACACAACAACAGTGTATGGTTGAGTCGCGTTGCCCTCCTCGGGCCTCCGGGACCTGGTTCAGGGGAGGTTTATGACACGTGCATCGGCCAGCCCTCAGCCTCTGCCTTTCCTCACTTTCTGCTCCTCGGGATCTTTCACCTGAGAGACCTGGAAGAGACCTTGCCCTCATCGCCCCCCAAGCCCCCTCCCCTCAGGCCAGATCTAAATCTCTTGCAACCTAGTCTGGCTGGTCTGGCGAGCCCTCAGCTCTCCCCAGCCCCCACGCCTCCTGCCTCTGGGGGGAGTGCAGTCCTTCTGGTGCTCCGGTTCCCCTCAGGTAGAAATGGCTCCCCTGCAGCAACATGACCTCCAGATACGAGCAGCATTGCCAGCATCCTTTCCTAAATCTCTGCTTCCGAAGCATCATCTTTCTCAACTCTTGAGCCTCTTCCTTAATTCGGAAAGGTTGCCATCTATTTGGTTTTGTTCCAGAATGGGTTCAAGCTAAAATTTAATTTAGAAAAACTTGTTGCAGGCACGCCAGCCCACCCTTGGGATGCACGCAGATTAAAGGCTTCCCATCCTGCAGCGTGAAGGGGCAAGTCTTCTTGGGCGTGTGGGCGCAGGGAAGGTGGAGCTGTGTGGCCATGTCAGATGTGGAGGCGGTGGTCTCACCAGCCAGAATCTGGCTGCTCACAGACCCGTGCCCTGGTCTGTGCTCGGGGACCAAGACTGAGAGGTGGAATCGGTCCTCAGGGAAGCATCTTCTTGGGCACACACCCCAGAGTCATGTTTCCTGAGCGGCTGCTCTCAGCCGGAGGAGGGATGGGGCTTCGCTCTTAGTGTGTTACTGAGAGAAGTTGGTGTGGCGTGTTGGGCCCTCCCCCACCCCCACGCCCCCAGCCTCCAGTCCCCAGGACAAAACTGCCATGCTCCAGTCTGTACTCCAGTCTGTCTGGGCCCCAGAGCAGTTTTCAGAATGTTCCTGTGGCCAGTGTGTTCTTTCTTGGAGGGGCGTGGAAGCATTTCTCAGAGAACTCCCTGCTCAAAACTGCTTTAGCCTTTTTTCTGCAGGGGTTGTTTTAATGACAAAGAAAGGTCTTTCTCAGCTATTCTCAGTAGGGTTTTTTTTTTTCCTACCTCTCCACTTATTTTCTCTGGTATACAGGCCCCATCGTGGAGAACTGTAATTATAATCCTCCTTTGGGAGACTCTGTGGAGAGGGGCCAATTAAGGAACATTGTGTGCTGGCTCCTTTGGGCCAAAAGGGGAAGAGAAAGGTGGGCGTCTGAGGCTCTGAGCCTGGAGGCCTACAGAGGGTGAGGGCGCTAAGGGATGAGCTTGAGGTTTCGGGCTCTGTGGGCGCTCCTGAGGCCAGCGGGGCGGTGGGCAGGGGTTTCAGAGTGTCCTCAGGACGTGAGGGCTTGGGCCACACGCTTCCGTGGAAGGTTCCCCGGCACAGGGTGAAAGAGCCGCAGACAGAGTGGATATACAGTAAGAATACTAACTGGCTTTTGTGACATTTTACTTAGAGTTGTCAGGAGTCACTAAGTCGTGTGTGTGTTTTTCTCTTAGGTTCATTTTCCAGACACTGAGAGAGCAGAATGGCTAAATAAGGTAAGAGAAGAGTACACGAAACACCGGATATCAGTGGGAATTGGCGGGTGAGACGCTGCCTCTCCATAGTTGGGGATTTGGGTGTGGGTGATATGTGAGCACGTCAGGGCCGCACAGGTGGCTTCTGCTCTCTAAACAGCTGGGAGATTGCTGTACAAACTGTGCCTTTGACACAGGAAGCTGGTGATGGTCTCACAGCTGGACGTTCGGCCCTGTGTCTCCTCACTTTGATGATAGTCGTAAGTGAAAATTATAGAGCATTCTTATGAAGAGGGGAATAACTCCCAAGAAATCTAGCCTTTTTAAAAAGGTTATGTTTCTAAATCATACTTAGAAGTAGATCTCTTTTATCTCTGTATTTTATATATCCTTAGAATTGTATAGTAAAAACTAATGTAGGTAATGATTACCCGTAATATAATCACTGGAAATTAGTCCATCCTTAAAGACACTCATTAATGTTTGTTAAGAACAACACAGTTTTAGAAAGTTTTTAGCACTGAGTTGAAACTACAGGATTATCTGACTGTTTGTACATACCAAGTTGCTTCAGTCATGTCCAACTCTTTGACCCTATGGACTGTAACCCACCAGGCTCCTCTGTCCATGGGATTCTCCAGGCAAGAATATTTGAGTGGGTCGCTATGCCCTACTAAAGGGGATCTTCCCGACCGAAGGATCGAACCCTCGTCTCCTGTGGCTCCTGCATTGCAGGCAGATTGTTTACTGATGAGCCACTGGGGAAGCCCCTTTCTGACTTTTTAGTAATGATTAAATGTGATGATATGCATAAACAAAATATTTAACTAGAATAACTAATTCCTGCAACATACTGGTTGGTTAATCAATAGTTTATTGTTATAATACATTTTTAAATTTTAGATGCTGTTTTTACATAACAAAAAAGGACACCTCCGCCCCACTTTTGCCTTTCAAAAATTCTGGTAAACTGTATAAGCATGATTTTTCATGATGATTTAGAACTGTACTATTTGTTTGAGTGAGTAAAAGTCGCTCAGTCATGTCCGAGTATTTGTGACCCCACAGACTACACAGTCCATGGCATTCTCCAGGCCAGAATACTGGAGTGTGTAGCCTTTCCCTTCTGCAGGGGATCTTCCCAACCCAGGGATCGAACCCAGGTCTCCCGCATTGCAGGCAGATTCTTTACCAGCTGAGCCATGTTTAACCTGAGCTTCTTCTCTTTTCCAGACTGTAAAACACATGTGGCCTTTTATTTGCCAGTTTATAGAGAAGTTGTTTCGAGAAACCATAGAGCCGGCCGTGCGGGGCGCACACACCCACCTCAGCACCTTCAGCTTCACGAGGGTGGACATGGGGCAGCAGGTTTGTTTCTCCTCAAGCTTTCTTACCTGTGCACCGCTGGAGAGAACGTTAAGCTGCGTCACATTGTTTTCTAGCCAAGCTATGTTCTGGAAGGCTGGCTGTGTGCGCAGGCCCTCCCCGGGTCTCCTGTCTCGGGGTCTCTCCGCCTCTGTCCACTGTGGTGTCTCTGCCAGTCCAGGTCCATCTGTGGGCCCCTCAGCCGCACGTTCTCCCACCACAGTTACCTTTGTACAGTTCCCACCGCCTGTCGTGCTGGAGAGGGGGTTTGCTGTGGAAACTCACTAGCTATTGACACAAGCTGGAAGGCGCCCCCACCCCACCCGCATGTTTAAAAGCAGCACCTCGGGGCTCCAGCGCTGGGCTCGCAGCACCGCATTACTGACACAGGTGGTGGGAAAGGTGGGCTTTGTTCTTGGCATCGAGTTATCTACAGAGGACCGTCACTAATTCCAGCACTGCTGGAAGCCTCGGGGCCACCGTAACAGCAACTTTCCCTTTTTGTTTTTTTAAGTCAGTGTTTACAATAACTAGCAACAGTTGAAGGTAGCATTTTTTCTATTGAGGGATAATTGACACATGAGGTTATATTAATTTCAAGGTAACATTGTTTTTATGCCTAATAAGACTTCAGAGTTCAACAGGACTTTTTTTTAGTTTATTTTTTGGCCACACTGTGACCCTGCAGGATCCTAGCTCGCCAGCCAGGGGTCAGCGGCCGCAGAGCCGGATGACCACCTTCCCCACTCGCACGCCGAGTCCTGATGCCGGTGGTGCTTCAGGGGGCGGGACCGAGGACCGTCATGCCGTCTGTGCCCCTGCCCCGGCTCTGACACTCCCAGGTGTCAATGCTGTTCCTCCTCAACGTCCATCTTTGTGCAGAGACACAGGTGTGTGTGTCCTGCCCAGCTGTGTCATGCAGGCTGTTTGCTCTCTCGGCTGAGTGTCTGCAGCATGCTACCATTTTGGGTGCGGTCCCCGTTCAGCTCATGGGGCCAGCGCAGGACTCCGTGGGATACTGCCTCTCATTTCCACTTTACCTCAGTCTCCTAAAAGGAACACAGCAAGTGGGAATGCACACTTAGAAGCCAGAATGCCACATGAATATGAAGTGAGGTTTCCAAGGTTTTCTGTGAAGGGCGGATGGTGAATAGCATGTGTATTGATGCCTACATACGGTTTTCAGAGGCATGTCCTCCTGCCCTGCCCCCTTCTTTTCCAGCCCTTTAAAATAACAGTCTCTCTTAGCCCACAGGCTGTGTCCTACAGTCAGGTAAGCTCACATTCGTGCAAATTTGGAACTCTTGCTCCAGCCGAGTTTGTCTCGGGAAGAATTACTTTCATGTTTGTGTGTGTGCTTTGAGCTTGTAATGCTGACGATGGGTAGGAATGTTGAGAGCAGTGCAGGTTTGGTCAGAGAGCTCAGTGTCACAGGGCACTTGGACTTCTCGTAGGAATAGGGGACCCAGGCGTCTGATGCAGGGGCAGGAGGGGGCACGGGAGCCTGAGCGGAGACCCTGCGACCTTGGATGGTGGCAGCGTGGGCCCGGAGTCTGTCTGCTCCTGCGGCCAGCTGTGGGGGTCAGACTTCAGGACAGCCGCAGCGTCAGAGTGAGCGTGGGGGCCCGGTGGTGCTTCAGCCTGAGTGTTTCATGTCCAGCTGTCATGCTGAGAACTTTCTTAGAAGGGGTCTCAAATCAGTAAATTGGGAAAAGATTCTGAAATGATGTTGAAATATAATATTATTGTCTGCCTTTTCTTTTTATAGTCATTTGATTCTCACCTTGTTGCCTGTATTATCTGTTGAAAATATAGTTAATATTTTTGATTCACTCAAAAAGTCCCATTTTTATGAGAATATTAAAAAATAGAAAGTTGTGACGTAAAGATAATACAAGAAGAACTTCTGTTTTAGACAGGGCATTACAGGTGGACTAGAGGGAATGGGTCCGTGTCTGCTGGAGGAGACAAGGACTGAGGGCCCTTGGGCGGGAGTGAAGCCGGGTCCCAGCCCCGAGCCCCTGCTAAGCTAGGCAGTGCTCCGTGACCTGCTGGGCCCGCGTCCTGTGGGCCACTCTCGCCTGCAGGGCCCTCCTGAGTTTCTTACAGATGAGGGTGCTAAGGGCCAGAGGCCAGCGGCACACTGCGGGTGAGAGGACAACGAAATGAAGCAGAGTGTCCCCGCCCGGGCCTGGGACCCAGGCTCGTTTTCTCAGCTGCTGGGTCACAGGGTTGGTGTTCTTTACCCTTCCTGTGTTTTAAAGAAGCCAATTCTTGTTTCAGCCCCTCAGGATCAATGGTGTTAAGGTGTATACTGAAAATGTCGACAAAAGGCAGATTATTTTGGACCTTCAGATTAGGTAAGTTTGTGTGTTTGTCATAGTTAATGATGTGTGATGTCACTTAGCTATGCCCATAAAGTAGAGAATATAATGAGCACATATCTTACTGCTATTTGATGGAATTGGACTAGCTTCTTGTTGAGGACCTAAACTTAGCTACTTCTGGTTTTAGTTCCTGATAGCTTAGATAACTGCCATTTGTAGAACATGTTAAAAGAAATTTAAGGCACTACAAGATAACTGCAGGCCCATATCACTTGTGAACATTGATGCCATAATCCTCAAGAAAATGCTCACAAACTGAATTCAGCAACATAGTGAAAGGATTATACATCATGACCAAGTAAGATTTATTTCCATAATATAAGGATGGTTCATTTTAAGTGATCAATGTAATACTCCAATGTTAACAAGAATGAAGGGGAAAATCACCTAATCATCTCAGTTGATGCCAAAAAAGCATTTGTTGAAATTCAGCACTTTCATGATAAAAACACTTAAGGCACAGACAGAAACAATGTCAGCATGATGGACTTGTTTATTGGACTCGGAATACTTGGCATGTATTCCCAGCAAGCAGCATGCTCGGTGGTGAAAAACTGAAACCTTTCCTCTGAGATCAGGAACTTGACAAGGACCCCGCTTTCACCACTGTTGTTCAGCATGGTCCTGGAAGTTCTTTCAGAGCAATTAGGTATGAAAAAAACAAAATGCATACATTGTTGGAAAGGAAGTAGTAGTAAAGTAGAAGGATACAAAATCAATGCAAAAAAAAATGTATAGTTGCATTCTGTACATTAACAATAAACAAATCCAAAAAGGAAATTAAGAAAATTGCATTTAAAATAGAAGAATAAAATACTTAGAAATTAACTGAAGCAGTGAAAGACTTGTACAATGAACACTACATAACATTGATGTAAAAAATTAAAGAAGACGTAAATACATAGAGATACAGCCCATGTTTGTGGTTTAGAAGACTTAATATTGTTAAAAGCCAACACTAAAAATAATCTATAGAATCAGTGCAATCATATATATGCATATAATCATATATATGGTAAAGGATTGAGATCCAGAATATATAAAGAACTGCTACAACTCAAAAACAACAACAAAAAACAAATAACCTGGTTCAGAAATGAGCTAGGGACTTGAGTGGACATTTCTCCAGAGAAGACAGACTAGTGGACAAAGGCACATGAAAGGGTGCTCAGCGTCTCTGTTAAAACCACCGTGAGACATCGCCTCACACCCACCAGGGTAGCAGCCATCAAAACCAGAACGGATTAGTGAGAATGTGCAGAGATCGGAACCCCTGTACACTGATGGTGGGAATACAAACGGTACGGTTGCTATAGAAACAGAACAGTACCTCCTTAAAAAAAAGAAATAACTGAATGACCCAGCACTTCTACTTCTGGGTACATGCCCAGAAGAACTGAAAACAAAATCCCAAAGGGATAATTGTATACTCCAGTTCATAGCAGCTTTCTTCACGATAGCTAAAACATGGAAGCAACCCAGGTGTTCACGGACTGTTGGACGGGTAAGAAGGCATATTATGTGCATACAGGGGAGCGTCCTTCAGGCTGTATAGAGAAGGAATCCCGCAGTGGGCAGTGTCCAGCAAGCTACGGTGTGATGGACGGACCGTGCAGACATCATGCTAAATGAAATAGGACAGTCACAAAGAGACAGACTGTGTGTGACTCCTCCCATGTGAGACCTCGAGGAGTAGATCCACAGAGACAGCGAGCAGGATGCAGGCTGCTGAGGAGGAGGGGAGGAGGATGGAAGTCCCTGAGTGATGGGCGTAGAGTTTCAGTTTTGCAGGATGAAGAGAGTTCTGGAAATGATGGTGGTGATGGTTGCACAGCAGTCTGAATGTGCTTAATGCCACCGCAATGCACTTCAGAATGAGTGAGATGGTTGCTATGTATATTTTACCACAATAAAAAATAATTGGGAAAAAATTGATTAGGGGTCTGCCAAGTGCTTTCCCTGGTGGTAACAGGCTTCTCTGGCTCTTGTCTTTGTCCTTCAAGAACCTGCTCACGGCTTCGTGAGGCCCCTTCCCAGCTGTGTGCCAGCTACTGACTGACACACCCAGCAGGGTTGGTTTTGTTTTGATTAAGGGTCATTTTTTTTTATCGTGTCATCTTTGAGTTTCTAAAGTGTATTAATGTAGTAAATGAACAGAGTCTGTACCAATTGCCTTTATTTTAGAAAGAAGCATAGAGTGTTATGATGATGTAACATGGGAAAACTCTGCATCTTCAACACATTTGGCACCACTGCAGATACTGCTGTCATGAGTGGAGCGAAAGAGGTGGCCCTGTGTTTGTCTTGGGGTCAGGGGGTCAGCTGTACCTGGCAAGGCTGTCCACAAGGCCGAGGGTGAGCTTCCACGGGTGGGAACCTTGTTCTCTTATTCCAGCACTGAGGGAGCCCTTCATACATGTTTGTTAAACAAACACTGAAATGAATCTGTTACCTGATGCCATTTTGAAGACTGCAGTCTGGCACTTATGGTTTCAGCAGACATAGCAGCATATGCAAGTTATGCAGCTCAGATATTTATGTCTCTGAAACAGTCTGCATTCTACTTTTTCCTATGTTCCAGACAAGAACTGTAACTAGATTACTGCCTGTAGAGTTGGGGAAGGAGTAATTGAGAGATAATAGAACATAAAATGATCACGTCTTAGGGTATGTGGAGAAAACTTGTCATTCGCCATCTGCCTCTATAAGGATGAGGTCACCAGCCACTGTGGTCGCTGCCCTTCCACACCCCTGAAAGGAGTTCAGGGCGGAGACCAGGAATGAGGCCCTCCGTGCCCTGGGAAAACTGGCAGAACTGTCTTTCAGGCAGTTCGATATTTTCAAGAGATGATTTTATGAGCCCAGTTTCTTTCATCTTCTCATAGCTAGAAAAGTTCTACAATCATTAACGAAGATGTCTGCTCCTTGTGACTACTAGCAACCTTCTGCCAAAATGTGTCCTTGATTGCATGCACCTCCTTCACCAAAATATAGGTAGTGACTTTTATGGCAGGAGTGTGACTGTTGGCAGACTTTCATCCCAGATGCCTTCTGTTGATATTTTGCTCATGTGCTTGGACACTCTCTGTTGTGGTTATCAGATTCCTCCCCATGCTCCAGGGCAGGAGCAAGATGACCCGCTTCCAGAATCAAGGGTGGGCATCAAACCATTCAGGTTCCACAAAAACATCGTGAGCCTGCCACGTTTTTATAAAGATAGGTGAAGCCTTACATGCAGTGTCACACAGTGTTCATGGGTGTTCACATTAACGATTGAAGTGACAGTCGCTGAGTAAAATTGATGCCTCAAACAGGTGTAACGTCTCTGAGGGCCTGAGCACTGCTAGTTTTTCACAGTGGGGGAGCATGGACACATTTATTTGTGGTGAAATATGATCTAAGCATTGTATATGTTTTAAACAAACAGTTATTTATGAGACAGATGAAAACTATACTCCATCAAGAGACTGCTCCAGGAGCTGCCCTTTGAGAAGTGACATTTGTACCAAGACCCCTGGCCAGGCGGCCAGCCTCACCCGCCATGTGGCGGTGCTGGCTCTGGTGGCCGTGGCTGCTGTAGCCCAGGTCCTGGGACTCTGGCCCAGCCGGCCTGCGGGTCACAGCTTGCCTGCAGCCCAGTGTTGGTGGCTTCACTAGCACTGTGTTCAGAATTGTAGCTTGGGTCTGTGGTGATGAAGAGAATGTAATCAGAACTTTTTCTTTGCTAGTTTTGTAGGGAATTGTGAGATCGATCTGGAGATCAAGCGGTACTTTTGTAGAGCTGGTGTGCAGAGTATACAGGTAAGGTTTTTTTAAGTTTTATTTTCTTTTCAGATTCTCTGCGCTCTATTCAGAAAGAAAATTGTGAAGTTCTCATTAACTCAGAATTTCTTTGAAGTTAAAGAGAGAAGCCTGAAGTCATATGCTCAGGAATCACTGTCAGGATCTTGCATCCTCCCTTTGAGTCAGTAAGAGCCTGTGAAATTATTTCCATTGATGTTTTGTTTTCCCATTTGAATTTAGATTCATGGTACAATGCGGGTGATCCTGGAACCATTGATTGGAGACATGCCCTTAGTAGGAGCTTTGTCTATCTTCTTCCTTAGGAAGCCAGTAAGTCAAGGTTTATTTCATTTTCTTCTTCCCATTCACTGACAAGAATGCGTACATACCAAAGAACAGAGTGAAGAAAAAGAGCTTATCTCACTTTATTCCCTCTGAGGCATGAATCCTGTATGTTTTCATCTCTTATGCTTTAACATCTCTTGATAGACCACTTTTTCCTCATTATAAAACTAATACATTTGGGAATTCCCTGGTGGTCCAGTGGTTAAGACTCAATACTTCCACTGCAGGAGATGAGGGTTTTATCCCTGTTCAGAGAGCTAGATCCTGCATGCCACACTGTCGAAAAATAAAAATAATGTTATAATATTAGTTTCCAAATGAGATTTCAGTACTCAGAAAAGCAGGATGTGGCTATGAGAGGTTGAGAGTCACTGGCACCCTTATATGGTAGATTACAGCCCCTACGCACACTCTTCAGAGAAAAGGGGCTTCTCGGACACTTTCACCTGGAAATATGAGAGCACAGTGCCCAGCCATCTGCCAAGTCCCTCCCCGCCCCAGTGAAAAACAAAGGTCCTGGGATTTTGACTGGATGGTTTAGACGCGTGGAAATCTTCACAATATGGAACTTTTGTACATTGTTTTGCTTGTTGGTTTGTTTAGATTAGTTTCGATAATGTGCTACTTGCTTTAAAAAAAACAAAACTGCAAGTTTCTGAAGTGCTGCCCTCGTGGAGCACATGGAGGCAGGACGGATGTACTGTCCCATTTCAGGTTCAGTGATGGACGCAGGCCTCCCAGCCTCACTACCCACTCTCGGTTCCTCCTGTTTTCTGACCTGTGTTGTTTGATCAAACTGCCATCTCCCACCACCAGTCTCCACAGGGGATGGTCCCAGGACTCCCACAGCCAAGGTCCACAGCTGCTCAGGTTCCTTAGTAAATGGCGCAGTGTTTGCTCCTAACCTCTGCACAGCCTCTAGCATCCTTTAAATCATCTCCACATCAGTAGTAACACCTAATACAGTGTAACTTCTGTGTAAATAGTTGCAATGTAAATGATATATAAATGGTTGCCTTAGTGCAGCAGATTCAAGTTTTGCTTTTTGGAACTTTCTGGAATATTTTTTCTTTCTGAATACTTTTGCTCCATGATTGGTTAAATCTGAGGAGACGGAGCTGGAACCCTTGGACACTGAGGTCCAGCTGTTTTTGATTTCTGTAAGCCTCAGTTTCCCCATCAGTAACTTGTAGAGTATGGTAATACCTCCCTTAAAAGATTAGATGTGACAACTAAATGTCAATGGGTAGAAATACTCAGTATATTCCCTGGCATACAGAAGTCTTCAAGTGTTTCAGAAGTAAAATATGTTCCTACATGGAGGCTTAGCATGCCGGTGGGGCCCTGACAGTGACAGCAGAGCTCGAGGTTTGGTGCGTCGGGATGAGGTTCTGGGAGGAGCCAGGGAGACCCCCAGTCTGCCCCCAGACGCGCCCCAGATGGGCGGCCGCCCCTCGTGCTGACTTGGTACTGTTGACATCGCCTCTGGGCTATACTCCTGAGGGTGTTTCAGCATCCTTAGGCTACATTTAGGTTCGTCTCAGGAGTGTGGATTAGACTAGACTGAAGCAGGAGGCCTTTTCTAGAACTTCTCCAGGAGGTGGTCTGGGCTCACTCTGCATGTGTTTATCTGAGGGGTCCTCCCTGGTAGCAAAGCACATGTCTTCTGAGTCTGTGATCCACAGACTGAGTTTCTTCATCTATAAAATGGAATTAATATCTTCCTTTAAGAGTGATTGTGAAAAGAAATTGAATCCATCTAGCTAGGGCTCCAGCAGTTGAGGTTGTTATTGTTCAGTTGCTCAGTCAGGTCCGGCTCTTTGCGACCCCATGGACTGCAGCACATCATGCCTCCCTGTCCATCACCAACTCCCAGAGCTTACTCAAACTCGTGGCCATCGAGCCGGTGATGCCGTCCAACCATCTCATCCTTTGTTGGCCCCTTCTCCTCCCACCTTCAATCTTTCCCAGCATCAGGGTCTTTTCAAATGAGTCAGCTCTTCACATCAGGGGCTAAAGTATTGGAGCTTCAACTTCAGCATCAGTCCTTGCAATGAATATTCAGGACTAATTTCCTTTAGGATGGACTGGTTGGATCTCCTTGCAGTCCAAGGGACTCTCAAGAGTCTTCTCCAAACCACAGTTCAAAAGCTTCGGCGCTCTGCCTTCTTTATGGTCCAACTGACATCAATACATGACCACTGGAAAAACCATAGCTTTGACTAGATGGACCTTTGTCAGCCAAGTGATGTCTCTGCTTTTTAGTACGCTGTCTACATTTGTCATAGCTTTTCTTCCAAGGAGCAAGCAGTTGAGGTACATTAAGCAAAGAAGGAGGAGGAAGGGGGGACTTTAAAAACAGAGTGAGCATGTCCTGCTATCTCGTGGAACCCATGCAGGGGCTGCATCCGAGGACCAGGAACAGGATGACTGTGGCACGTGACCACTGTGGCTGCCGTCCTCCCTCAGGCCTATTCTGCCTGCTTCATTCTCTCTCCCCAAGACCGTGACCTCTGGTCCTTCAGGCCACAGGCCAGAGTCCCAGCTGCCATGGCCCCAAGGAGGAGCGAGCCTCCCCCTCTCCCTTTGTCCTGGCCTGCCCCCTTCTAGCTGCATCAGGCACAGGTCCTTGGCCCTGAGACCAGGAGTGGGGAGGACACAGCGTTTGAAGGAGGGTCCCGTGGGCTGATCCTGCCACCCTCTGCGGGAGGCAGCAGTGAGGTGATGAGGCAGAAACTGGCAGGCAGGTCCTCAGAGCCCACTGCACTGAGGAGGGCCCGAATGGGGCCCCTGGGGAGTTTGGGGGTATTCATCCTGCCAGATGTTCTCTGAGTTTCTTGGAGGGGGGGTTGATGTCCTGCATTATTTTGGAGCTACTTCCACACCTCCAGGTGCTCTCGGCGGCCCCTCCCCGTACCCCGGAAGGGTCTGACGCGCTCTCAGTGCCCTGCACCTGTGTGGTGCAGAGGGCGTTCTGTCCTGGCCTCTGCGTGGGAGCTGCCTTTCCTGTCCTTTTCTGTCTCCGGCTCTCACAGGTCTTGCTCTGGCTCTCCTGCCCAGGGTGGCCCTTGTCCCCTTAGCTGTCTGTGCATTCAAGAGTGACACTCTTCCCAGTGTGCTTCATCACAAGTGGAAGCTGGAAGTCTCAGGGCTCTTAAAGCATAAGAAAAACATTTCGTGACCTTTATCACCAGCCCAGATCAGCAAATTCAAAAGCTCTGGGGAAGGGCGGAGCCACCAGTCTGTCTGTAACAAACTTCCTGTGTAGGAGGCTGGCATGCAGTCAGCGCTGAAATGAGCAGTGTCTGTGGGTTCGAATTCTCCTGGACCCACAGGCCCTCAGGGCGCTCAGGGGAGGCCCGACTGAGGCTGCCCTGCTCCTGTACCTGCTCATGCTGCTGGGTCTCCAGGTGCAGAGGGGTCTCCCTCCAAGCCCCGTCCTGCCCCCTCCCTCACTTCTACTTCTCAGCCCTCAGAAAGAGGTAGTTTCCTGTCCTTTGGAAACACTTCCCACTGGCTCTTCAGTTTCCCAAAAGGAGATCCATCCAGACTGGGGGCTGATGCGGAGGGCACTGATTTTCGTTGCTTTCCTCGACCTGCCCCTACGGCCGGCTGGACTTTCCCCTCTCGCATACCTGGACACCTGTTCACTCACACACTCAGTCTCGTCCTCAAGCGCAGAGTCACTCACACTCCTCTCCCTCCAGCTTGGCTCTTGTGTCCTCTGGCCTCCCTTGTGCTCAGGGACAGGCCAGCTCCCCCTTCAGGGCCTTGAACAAGCGTGCCTAGAGCTTTCCTTCTTGCATTCATATCTCCTCAAACTCAGCTGAGTCTGTCCTTCTGTGAATTCTGTCCCCGTCCCCCTAGTATTATTCTGTTTCTGTGAACTTGGGTAGCATTCAGGTACATCACATCATCTTGACAAATGTCCTGCGAGTAGGTGCTCTGTTACCCCCGAGTTTACAATCTAGTTTTAGTCCCTTAAGGTGATTGCCCTTTGGGAGGGCCATTGAGAGTTTCTTTGACCTTCTGATTCAGCAAGATGCCCCACGTTCATGTTAACAGTTTTTGCCCCAGACCCAAAATCAGCCATTTCTTCAAAGTCTCCTGTTGCCTATAGTGGAAGAAGCATCTAGAGATCACAGTCATGGTCTAGGGCATCCATGGGGCTTCCCTCTTAGCTCAGTCAGTAAAGAATCTGCTTGCAAGACAGGAGACCTGGGTTTGATTCCTGGGTTGGGAAGATCCCCTGGAGGAGGGCATGGCTACCCACTCCAGTATAATTGCCTGGAGAATCCCAAGGACAGAGGAGACTGGCGGGCTACAGTCTATGGTGTTGCAAGAGTCGGGCACGACTGAGCAACTAAACCACCAGGGAGTGTGATGGAGGTTAGTTTCTCAGGACTTTATTAAAGTTGTTGCTTTTGAGTTTGGGTTTGTCCAAAGGAATCTTGACCTTTCAGTTCATACGTAAAACTGCTCACTCCCGAGCTCTGTCACTCCAGTGTATGTAAGTAATAGAGGTCACTTAACATCTTCTACAGTATAAAGCACAAGTAATTGCATTATGTGCAGTATCCATCTTGACAGGAGAAGCAGTGTTTTAATCAGTACTTTTTACCTGTCCACATCTGTTTAACGGAATCTCAGCCAACTATATAGAAATTATTCTAAGATAAATACCCACTAGAAAAATGAGCAAAAAAATACAAAAGTCGACAAAATGGATGGAACATGTCCCACTAATATCAGGAAAAAAGTGAAAGTGAAAGTCGCATGGTCATGTCCAACTCTTTGCGACCCCATGGACTGTCCAGTCCAGGGAATGCTCCAGGCCAGAATACTGGTGTGGGTAGCCATTCCCTTCTCCAAAATCAGGAAAATGTTGTTTGAAATAGTGATAGAGTAACCATTCTTTAACTGCCAAATAGACTGATTTTTAACATCTGTGTTTGGTGTGGCTGTAAAGAACGTACATTTTATACAATTTTGATGGAAATGTAAACTGGTACAATATTAGAGCAATTAGGTAGTGACGTGACTTAGCAACTGAACAACAAGGTAGTGTATATCAGCATAAAGAAGTGAACATATATTTTTGACAAGAGCTTCCCCTTTTTGAATGCTAGTCTCTGTAAGAACATGTGTGTAAAAAGATATTCACTGAATCATTTTGTTGTTCTTGTTCTTCAGCTGCTGTCATGTCTGACTCTGCAATCCTATGAACTGCAGCACAGCAGGCTTCCCTGTCCCTCACTATCTCCCTGAGCTGGCTCAAACTCATGTCCATTGAGTTGATGATGCCATCCAACATTTCATCCTCTGTCACCCCCTTCTCCTCCTGCCCTCTCAAACTTTTCCAGCATCAGGGTCTTTTTCAGTGAATCAGCTCTTCACAACACATGGCCGAAGTATCGGAGCTTCAGCTTCAGCATCAGTCCTTCCAATGAATATTGAGAGTTGATTTCCTTTAGGATGGACTGGTTGGATCTCCTTGCAGTCCAAGGGACTCTCAAGAGTCTTCTCCAACACCATAGTTCAAAAGCATCAATTCTTTGATCTTCAGCCTTCTTTATGGTCCAACTCTCACATCCATACATGACTACTGAAAAAACCATAGCTTTGCGTATACAGTTGGCAAAGTGATGTCTCTGCTTTTTAATATGCTGTCTAGGTTTGTCATAGCTATTCTTCCAAGGAGCAAGTGTCTTCTAATTTCATAGCAGCAGTCACTGTCCACATTGATTTTGGAACCCAAGAAAATGAAATCTGACACTGTTTCCACTTTTTCCCCATCTATTTGCCATGAAGTATGGGACCGGATGCCATGATCTTAGTTTTCTGAATGCTGAGTTTTAAGTCAGCTTTTTCACTCTCCTCTTTCACCTTCATCAAGAGGCTCTTTAGTCCCCCTTCATGTTCTGCCATTAAGGTGGTGTCATCTGCATATCTGAGATTGTTGATATTTCTCCTTGCAATCTTGATTCCAGCTTGTGATTCATCCAGCCTGGCATTTCCCATGATGTACTCTGTGTATGAGTTAAATAAGCAGGATGACAATATATAGCTTTGACGTACTCTTATACAGGTTTCTCATGAGACAGGTGAGGTGGTCTGGTATTCCCATCTCTTTAAGAATATTCCAGTTTGTTGTGATCCACACAGCCAAAGGCTTTAGTGTAGTCAATGAAGCAGAAGTAAATGATTTTTTAGAATTCCTTTGCTTTTTGTATGATCCAGCATATATTGGTGATTTGATCTCTGGTTCCTCTTCCTTTTCTAAATCCATCTTATACATCTGGAGGTTCTCGGTTCATGTACTGCTGAAGCCTAGCTTGAAGGATTTTGTACATAATTATGCTAGCATGCGAAATGAATGCAATTGTACAGTAACTTGAGCCTTCTTTGGCATTGCCTTTCTTTGGGATTGGAGTGAAAACTGACCTTTTCGAGTCCTGTGGCCACTGCTGAGTGTTCCAAATTTGCTGGTATAATGAGTGCAGCATTTTAACAGCATCATCTTTTAGGATTTGAAATAGCTCAGCTGGAATTCCATCACCTCCACTAGCTTTTTTCATAGTAGTGCTTCCTAAGGCCCACTCAGGATGTCTGGCTCTAGGTGAGTGATCACACCATCGTGGTTTTCTGAGCCATTAAGAGCTTTTTTGTATAGTTCTCCTGTGTATTCTTGCCACCTCTTCTTAATCTCTTCTGCTTCTGTTAGATCCTTGCCATTTTTGTCCTTTATTGTGCCCATCTTTGCATAAAATGTTTCCTTGGTATCCCCAATTTTATAGAGATCTCTAGCCTTTTCCATTCTATTGTTTTCCCCTATTTCTTTGCATTGATCACTTAAGAAGGCTTTCTTATCTCTCCCAGCTGTTCTCTGGAGCTGTGCATTCAGTTGGGTATATCTTTCCCTTTCTCCTTTGCCTTTTGTTTCTCTTCTTTTCTCAGCTATTTGTAAGGCCTGCTCAGACAACCACTTTGCCTTCTTGCCTTTCTTTTTCTTGGGGGTGGTTTTGGTTATAACCTCCTGTACAGTGTTACGAACCTCCGTCTATAGTTCTTCAGGCACTCTCTCTACCAGGTCTAGTCCCTTGAATCTATTTGTCACTTCCACTGTATAATCATAAAGGATTTGATTTAGGTCATACCTGAATGGCCTAGTGGTTTTCCCTACTTTCTTCAGTTTGAGCCTGAATTTTGCAGTAAGGAGCTCATGATCTGAGCCACAGTTAGCTCCCAGTCTGGTTTTTGCTGACTGTTTAGAGCTGCTCCATCTTTGGCTGCAAAGAATATAATCAATCTGATTTTGGTATTGACCATCTGGTTAGGTAGATGTGTAGAGTCATATCTTGTGTTGTTGGAAGAGGGTGTTTGCTATGACCATTACTTACAATAAAAGAGAAACTGCAAATATTCTAAGTGCTCATCAATAGGATGGTGGGTATATAAATAATTATGATTTTGCTGGAGAAACTTATGACATCAAGAAACATAAGAACAGTCAAGCTATTGGTACCAATAAGGGACAACAACTTTGATATTTTATACAGTGAAAATCAAGGTATAGGACAGCATTGTGTACTGAGTAACCCATTTCATTTATAAAGAAACAGACTTGTATAATTTGATAATGATAATTAGAAGTAGTTTGCATACTTACCATCTTTGCCCTTTTTTTAAAAACAGCTTTTAGAAATTAACTGGACAGGACTGACTAATCTTCTCGACATTCCTGGATTGAAGTAAGTACTCTGTTGTGCCCTGTGGCCAGCTAGCTGATAGCATGTGCGTCCACAGTGTCATGAGGCAACCCAGCGGCTGAGTGCCGTCTCCCAGGCAGCGTCCGTGCCTTCCAGGCAGGGCGCTTGGGCTGCAGCTGCACGCCAGCCCTGTCGGGACCAGATGGAGCTGTTTCATTTGTCAGGAGGTGTCTTTCCAGTTTTGGTGTTTTAATATCCCAGAAAAATAAAGAAAACTTTAAAAAGTTTTCAAACTGATATGTTTCAAGACAAGCCCTTTCTGGCTGCGTTCAAGCTGTGCTGCACTGTCCCTTTCTGCCTTCTCTGCCTTGACGCACTCCTCCTGGGGGGGCAGAGTCATCCCGGACCTGCGGCTGCGGGTGCCACTGGGAGTCTTCACTGTTCCGTGTGCTCCAGTGTCTGAACCCTGAGGACTCCTTCCAGATGAGCTGTGGAGCCTTTGGTGCACGTCCCTCCTGTGAGGGCGGTTAGGCTTCCTAGTCAGGCTGCAAGTCGTCTGTCCTCCAAGATGGAAGGCAGCAGTGGCAGACCGTTAGTCACCACCAAGCAGGAAAGCTGCTTATCCTGCTTTCACCACTGCATTTGAAGGTTAAAGTGCCTTAAGTGTTGGTTACAGTTACATGTGTTCCTAGTGGACACTTTGTTAATCTGTGGGGTTCTTTCCCCTAAAATAGCTTAGAAAATTGAATTATGAAAGCTTTGGTTTAGTCTGCTTTTTTTTTTCTATTCCTTTGTATTTATTATGTCCTTGAAGTGGCCATTAGAAAGAATGTTATTTTGTTTCATTATCAGGAAAAAATGAAGATTTTAATAAGGTAAGGCATAGTTGTAATAATAAGTCTCTTTTAGGCACTGTGGTTTATTGGATATAGAAAAGTACCATTATCTTTAAAAGATTCTTGGAAAGGACAGCTTTAAAAGAATTTGTGTAAAAGGCTTTGTTAGTATTCTTGCTTTCAATAACAAACCCTGCTCACTTGGTCTTTATTAAGCGAGTAAAGTTTTTGAGAGACAGTCCATTCATCCAACAAGCGGGTGGGGAGCGCCTGCTCTGGGTGCTGGGTGTGGCCTGCAGCCCTGTCAGGCGGCCAGACGGGGCCAGGTGCTGATGTCCAAAGGACGGCTCCTGACCCGGCTTTGCTGTGTGGCTTTGTTGCTCGGCAGGCTCTTGCCGTGAAGTAGCAGCTTCTGGCTTCTATTCTGCATGCATGCTTAGCAGCCTCAGTAGAAGATTCCAGCAAATGTCCCTCTAGTTCCAGCAGAAGTTCCAGAGTTGACCTCTGTTTGTCCACCTTTCCTTGCACAAATTCTTCTGGTTCTGATGATCAGGTCTGGGTCTTGTGCCCACCCTGAGAGGAGACAGAGAATTGCTTGAAAAAGTTGCAATGAAGGACAGGAAGTCCCCCAAAGGAGGGACTCCAGGAGTTGGACGAAAGGGTGCTGGTCAGTGGCAAAAACAGCAAGTCCCTGCTCTCCTTCAGTGCAGAACAGAATGCGCGTTCTGCTTCCCTCCCCTCAGCACCGTGACCCGTGCTGTCAGGCATCTCCTCTGCAGGTGGCGCTGTGGCAGAGAGCCGGCGGGCGCTGCTGGAGTCGTCCCAAAGCACTGGAAAGGGAGAGACACACGTACACAAGGGCACACAGATACACACATGCAGATGCAGCTTCGTTTCATTTCGTGGTTTTATATGAGGACAGACTCTGTGTGGTATACCTTCTAGCTATTGTTTTATATATAGATTTTTATACACATATAAAACATAGTCATATATAGGTATATATAGGATTGCATATATTGTTAAGAATATATATGCATATATATTAGAAATGCAGGTGGAAATAGACACCATGCAAAAATGAGGCCATGGTATAAAAGAAATATAGTAAAATACTCCTTTAAAATTACATATATTTATATGACATATAATTTATACATAATTATGTGAATTTCATGTGATAAAATACATGTCTGTGTACTTAACATAAAACTTGGGCCACTGTTTTGTGAAGATTTTATCAAGTAACAGCTGTGGCAGACCTTATCTTGTAAAAGTAAATATTTAGGGGGAATCGGGATGGGGAATACATGTAAAACCATGGCTGATTCTTGTCAATGTATGACAAAAACCACTACAATATTGTAAAGTAATTAGCCTCCAACTAATAAAAAAAAAAAGTAAATATTTAATAACTTTGAACCTAGCATAATGAAATCTTGCCCCAAGCTTTACTAAATGAACATCTGCCTGCTCCCTGCATTGACTGCGGAACAGAAGCCAAGGTGTGAGAAGGTAGCAGGATGCCTGAGCCATTTCACCTTACCTCGCGTGTTCACGCTCCCTGCCACTGTTCAAGTGTGAGGGGTGAAGACTGTAGGTGATGCGCAGGGCTGGGTCAGCAAGACCGGGAGGGCGGAAGGCGTGAGGAAGCCGTGCTGTGTGCTGAGCCTTGCCGCAGTCAGGACGGGGGCAGCAGCAGCTCAGGGATGTGCAGCCCCGCTCGGGAGCCGTCAGTGGAGGTGCCAGCTGGGCCTTCTGCTGGCGGCATAGGCATCAGCGGGAGGTGAGGCGCCGCCCACCACCGGGGTGGCTAACAGGTTCCTGAAGCACTTAGGTCAGCAGTGAGGGGCCTTCTGTCTCAGGAGATTTTTCGATAAAAACAAAACTCGTGCTTCTGCAGGGAATTGCCTGAAGCAAGGGTGTGCTGGGTGCTAAAGCTTTGAGGGGCCACTTTGTCATCAGCTTGGTGAGCACTGATCCAGTGTCTGCCAGCTTACGCCCGCCGAGTCCCTCTGGAGTGTAGACGCTGGTTAACTGGCCTCTTCAGAAGAGCAGAGTTATCTGGGGAGTGTGGTTCCCGTGTTGAACTGAGAGGGCTGGCAGTGAGCCTCCACATCTTGGTTGGCATTTGGACCCCAGCCTGCAGCGAGGCTCAGTCATCTCTCACGGTATGGTAGGACCGTCCCTGTGTCCCAGGGGATGTTCCGGCTGCGGTTCGTTTACGTCTATCATGTGTGTAATGCTGACATCTAAAAAGTACTGGCAGGAAGTAAGGTTCTTCTAGGACTCTGCTGTTCTGGCCAAAGGTGCTTGAGCATAGCCGTGCAGCTCAGGTTCTGTGCCCTCAGAAGTGGTGTTGCAGAGACTCTTGACTCTCCATTTACACACATTTACAAAGAACAGACAAAAAGTATATTGAAAGTACATTAATCACCAGCCCAGGTTGGATGCATGAGACAAGTGCTCAGGGCTGGTGCACTGGGAAGACCCAGAGGGGTCGGGTGGAGAGGGAGGTGGGAGAGGGGATCGGGATGGGGAATACATGTAAATCCATGGCTGATTCATGTCAATGTATGGCAAAAACCACTATATTGTAAAGCAGTTAGCCTCCAACTAATAAAAATAAATGAAAAAAAAAAAGAAAGTACATTAGTTTCTTTAGCCCCCACAACTTTATTCCTGCTACTGAATTCTCTGTGCAGTGGCATATACTATTTCAAATTGATTACAGTATTCAGTACCTAATAAAGTGTAAAGAAGAATGAACTGTAAATTCTTTTATTTCATTGGGAGCTCTGCATATATAACAAGAAAGATGAATTTAATGTAATGTGAAATGAGTAAATGCTTGTTTTCATATTCTCTGCACTTTTATGTGTGTTTGAAATATTTTATGTTAAAATAAGAAATGTAAATAAGTGTATATTCAGTGTTAAATCAATGATAAAGGTATGTGGAAATGTATGAGGGCGATTTAGGACATTGAGAAGTGTAGTCAGAACATTGCCTTGTGTTCTCAGAATAAGTCCCACACAGTTGTCAGCACAGCAGCATAAGCACTGTGTTGGGGGAACCGGCTCTGACCTGTTGGTAGGATGTTGCATCGTGTTTGTGCCAAGTTCACTGTTACAGGTGGTGACTCACATGAAGTGTCTGATCATTGTTTTTTTTTAACCTCCCACCTAACAGTGGTTTATCAGATACTATCATTTTGGATATAATATCAAACTATCTGGTGCTTCCCAATCGAATCACAGTCCCTCTTGTCAGCGAAGTTCAAATCGCTCAGCTGCGGTTTCCTGTACCAAAGGTAAGCATGTGTTCATCAACACTTAAAACAGACTGAAGTAACTGTTCACGCACCTGGGTGCTGTGACTTCCTGCGTTTCTCCTAACAACGACCTAGCCATGTGGATCTTGATGCTGTAAAAGTGGTCTGTCCTGCCTGTCCTTAGGAGGTTGGGTGAGGGCCGTCTGGCCTAAAGCTTTCAGAGACTTAGGGCAGTTCTTACACCCTAGAGGTACTCACAGGGATTTAATTCTGCAGATGTCACTGCAAGTTGCAAAGGGCCGTGGTGACAACTTGTTCACTGCCTCAGAAAGCATTTTCTGCTTGTGTGTACGAGGTACATTCTAGCCTGAGCTGGGCACCTTGTGCCAGGCTCCCATCAGGTGTGAGGAGTGGTCGTCTGTGGAGTCCTCCAGGCGCACCAGGGGTGTTACGCGCCCCCAGACGGAGTGAGCGGGCAGGGCTGGGCTGAGTCACGGCCTGGGGGTTGGCGGCAGCTTCACTCTGGGAGCGCATTCCTCAGTGTCTTCATTTGTAGGTTGGGGTGGCGCCTCACACACAGAGGTGGCCACACATCTTGGAGGCACCTTCATCTGAGTAAACTAAACAACTTCAGCCCGAAACCACAAGAACCTGCCAGCCACGGGTGTGGAATCCTGTCCCAGGCCCAGAGCACGTTCTCGGAGGGCAGCTCCTACTGGTTTGCGTCCCGCCTGTGTGGTCTTACCGACCATGGGCTCCAGAGGTGGAGTGGGGAGCCTGTCACGTGGTGTCTGGTCTCAGTTCAGACTTTGTTTCATGAAGTAGAAGTAGCCAGCCTTTACCCCTGCCTGTTACCCTTCTAGGAAGCTCGATCTTAGTAAGAGTGCACAGACCAACAAGCATTCATGAGCAATCCTACTGTTGTCAAAGTAACAGCAGCCCAGTCCTCACATCCCAGTTAGTCATATTGCTGGCATTCAGCAGTTGTGATGGGACACAGCTGAGGTGGGGATGTCTTTCTTCCTTCACTTAGCATCCTCAGCTTGGGGAACACGGGCTGCCTTTGCACATAGGAATCCTTGTGCTCCTGGGCCCTGGGCTGTGTTCTCTGAGCACTGGGAACCGTCTGAGCCTGCCCGGGTCCACCCTCCATGCTGCTCAAATATGTGGCCACAGTGTCTAAGCATTGAATCTGTGAAAACGTAAACGGGAGGTTGGTGACTTTTTTTTCTGGTAATGATTTTTAAAAGTATATCTGTAAAAGTATGTCTTCCTATGCTAATTGGCTGAGGAACAGTACCTGGTAACTTTTTATAAAGTGTTTATGGTATAGAATGCTGCCTTCTCAAAAGGTAACTTTACCAGTTGTGTTTACCTTGAAAGAAATATGGGTGGATATTTTTTATCAATTAAGCAACATTTTAGGGAAAGAGAACTATGTTGTCTGTAAGTGTATGTATCTCAGAGTTTCAGTCTTCTATCCATAAAATAGGTTTATTGACAGTATTGCATAGGATTATTCTAAAAATGCAGCGCAGTCACTGGTGCGTGTGAAGGACTCAGGAAGAGTCTCCTGCATCCCAGGGTGCTGGTTTCCAGTGTAGGTACTGCCCTGGTCCTACCAGGACTCAGCGCTGTTCTGGCCATGAGGCCCTGTGTCGTCTGCCTGCCTCCTGCCCTCTGCCCTGCCCAAGCCGGGGCCCTGGGGCACAGAGTGGCTCTGGGACTCCTCCCTCCCAGGAGGGTCAGCAGCTCACACCAGCTCCTCCGTCTCTGGCCTCCGGTCGGACCCTTGGGGCCCGTGGTGTTGCCCCCGAGGCACTCGTGTTTACCTTCCTTGCTCAGGGGAGAGGATCTGTCTTGTCCCCAAGCCAGCCTTTGCTCCAGGTCTGCGGGTGAACTGGTGAGTAGTCTGCTCTGTCTTCCTTCTTTCTAGGGTGTCCTGAGAATACACTTTATTGAAGCTCAGGATCTTCAGGGAAAAGACACTTACCTTAAGGGACTTGTCAAGGGGAAGTCAGACCCCTACGGAGTGATTCGAGTTGGCAACCAGATCTTCCAGAGCAAGGTCATCAAGGAGAACCTCAGTCCGAAGTGGAACGAGGTGTATGAGGTGAGGGGGTGGGTGCGGTGCATCTTTCCCCAGGCTCTGCTCCTGCTCTTTCCCCAGGTTCTGCTCCTGCTCCTGGTGAGTGCTTAGTGTGAGGTGAGGGGGTGGGTGCCGTCCTTCCCCAGGCTCTGCTCCCGCCCCCGCCCTGTGGCAAGTGCTTAGTTCAGTGCAGAGAGCTTCGCTTTGATTCTCCATCTTTAAAAATACTTCACCTTGTATCCCTTCCTCACACACAATTTTAAACCTTAATCACTTTAAGCTATCTCAGTAAATAAGCGGCCGCTAACACACAAGCGTACTTCACGATGAGGTTAGTTGTATACTGTATTTTAGTTTTCATTTAGTGCATCTGGACACTTCTTCATGTCCCAAGCACAGCCACTCAGGCGAGACGACGCCCTCATGTATACACGAGGGACCTGGCCTTTGGACTCAGCACTGTAACCAGTGCCTTTTGGGTATCGTGGGGCCGTATTTAGTGAACTTGGCCAAGTTGCCCCCAGAGAATGCCCCTCAGAGTGAACAACTGCATCACAGGGCGTGCGGCTTGGAAAGAACTGGAAGGGGGTACGGCCTTTACCCCACCAGCTTCTGGTCCTCCCTGCCCTGTCTGTTGCCGGATCCCAACTTCTGAGTGGTGGTGAGGGGCCAGCCCTGACCGGGGCTGCTGCAGGAGTGGAGAGATGTCCGCGCCGGTAGCCCCGATAACTGGGAGCAAGCGCAGTGCCACGTGCAAGGGAGTTCCCAGGGGCTCCCAGCATCAGCCATGTATCGGGTCTGATGGTGGGGTCTGGATGTAGAGCAGCTGCTGGAGCCGGTGTCAGCTGCGATTACGACTCAGAACAGATGCTCATAAGGGTGAGACAGCCGTGCACTGGTACCTTCCAGGCTCTGGTCTATGAACATCCCGGACAGGAATTGGAGATCGAGCTCTTTGACGAAGACCCAGACAAGGATGACTTCCTCGGAAGGTAAGTCCTCCGTGACCAGGAGTGTGGACTCTTCCTCTTTGATCGTCACTCTTAAATGTGTAACATCAGAGCAGGTTTATTACACGTTACATGTGTATTAAAATGGCTTTTCGATGTTAGGTTTGTTTCACCTTAGACCTCTTAAAACACGTTTTGTTCCTAAAACAAATTTTACATTTAAGTAAGAAAAGGAAAGCTAAGTTAAACAGAACTTGAAATTCACGTTCTTGGCTGTGCTGCCGCATTTAAGCGTTCAGCTGCCAGCTGCAGCCTCCACGCAGCCCAGCTTCCCAGCTTTGCGCCCAGCAGGCTGCTGGGCTCCTGGCTCTAGAAATGGGTTTGTGAACTTCCTATTTGTTATTGGCCTGTGGGGGTGGGAATCGATTGTAATTTACATTGTGCCTATGTATTGGAAAAATACTGATTTGTTTACTTAAATTGAACAACGTGTACAGCTGAAAAAATATGAACTATCAAAAAAACACACTTTAGCCTAATCTTACTATATAACTGAATTTCTTGTTGCAAAAAAGGTACAAGGGTAAATGACACTGAACAGGTCTGGTTTCATCAAGGATGGCCTGTGTGTTAGGCTGTGACCTCAGATTTCATTTGTGAGACCGTTTATCGAAGGGCAACCAAAAGGTTGTAAGCAAGGCAACGAACAGATGAGATTTACACTAAAGCCTCTGTTAGATTCGGGCATCAGTGGCTGAGACTGGGGGCTGGCTGGGCCCCAGGCGTCTGTAATGGAGCAGGGAACACAGGGCAGCGCGCAGGGACAGAGAGGAGGACAGGCGTGCGATCGTCCCTCCGTGCTCCACTCGTCTCTGGCTCTGGGCTGCCTTACGCTTCCCAACAGAGCAGGACTATTGAGGGAAATGGGACGGGCTGTCGGGATCATGCCAGGAATGAGGCAGAGGCCCTAGAGGTGCCGGTCAGAGCTGAGGAAGCAGGGCTAGAAAGGCAGTCAGCGCCTGATTTAGCTCACAGCGACGGAGCCCGAGCCGGAGTGGCGGGTCACTGCTCAGAGAGAGCACGTCCACCCACCCTGGTCGAATGCGCCCGCCCGCGTGCCCCAGGCTCCCCTGTAGACAACGCCCGCCCCCGGCTCTCCCCTGTAGACACGCCCCGACACCCGGGTTTCCCAGTAGACATGCCCACATGCCCGGGGCTCCTCCAGACCACTGCCTGTGGGGAGACCCAGCGTTCCCAGCCCTAACTTCAGCCGTGCCGCGCTGCGTGTTCCCTGCTCCCTTCACACCCGGGTGGAAGCTTGACGAAGCTTGGAGGATGAAGCTTGTTTCTTGATAAACTATAGCATTCTGTTGCTTTTCTGGAGTACTTTTTCATAGAGTAATACTTAAGTTTATTTCAATTTTCAGAAGTGGTTTTCTGTGTTCTAAAGTTGTTGTATTGTTATTTCTATAGTCTTATGATTGATCTTATTGAAGTTGAAAAGGAGCGCCTTTTAGATGAAGTAAGTTTCCTTTGAGTACTGTTCTATTTCATGAGTGTTGATGCAGAGTGCCCGCTGCCGCCATCCCGGATGGTCTGAGAACTTAACAGCCGCTCACAGACGTTGAGAACTTAGGCCTTCCAGTACCAGCAAAGTGAAAATACATCAGCACCTACCAGAAACACAAAATTCCCAAGTATCCAAACACACACCCACTTTGTTTCAGGCAGGCATGGTCTGCTTCGGAGTCAGGGCAGAGTCTGGTAGAAGCTCCCGAGAATCGGGCATTAAAAGGTAGTTGGGAGTCATAGCAGAGCGACGCAGTGCAGTTGATGAGACATTGTCCCAGGAAAGACACCCACAAACGCATCATGAACTGACAGACACAGACGCTGCTTCAAGCAAGATGCTGCTCTCAGAATAAAGAGGAAGTTTGTGATGGCTGCTGAAAGATGGGTAAGATTTGGATGAGTAAGGCGCAGTTAGCTGAAGCTCTGCTGAGAGCTGTGTCAGCCGCACACGGCACGCAGTGGACAGGCGTCTGCAGTCGGCCCTGCTGTCCTGTGCTGTATGGCGCGGCGGGCCCAGCAGACACGCCCTGCACTCGGACGTCCCTTCTAACGCCGAGTGTTGGTGACCGTCCTCCGTTAACAGTTTGATGGCTTTTAAGCTGAAACAAGTGTAAACTAATTATTATATAGTCATGAGGAAAAGCACACTTGTTAGCATGTCTGATAATGAAATTCAGTACTTGGGATCCATGTTATATTTTTTCTTGGCCCCTAAATTCCGTGGATATCCATACGTAGACTCCTGGTAGTGCTGGGTGGTACGAGAGGATGTTTGAATCCTTGCCTGTCAGACAGGGATGTCACTGGGAGTCAGTGAGTTAACACACAGAGCGGCCCCCGCTGTCGGCCTCTGGGGCCAGCAGCTCGCTCTCAGGCCTGGAGCTAAAAGTGGCAGGACTCGGGCCTTTCAGGTTTGTAGAGGCTGCTCAGCTCGTGTGTCCGATCCAGGAGGGCTTTGGCTGACCGGTTTGACTTTCTCCACAGTGGTTCACCCTGGATGAGGTGCCCAGAGGGAAGCTGCACTTGAAGCTGGAGTGGCTCACGCTCATGCCCGACGCGTCGAACCTCGAGCAGGTGCTGGAGGGGCCCCACAGCAGCCCACAGTCCTGGGCACTAAGATCAGTGCCTGAAACTGTGCTGCTGCTCATTTTCCAAACTCTCAGCAGCACCGTGACCCTGTGCTGTGAGTCACTGCAGTGGCGTAGGCGCAGATGAGAGCCAGCGGGAGTGTGCAGGCGTCCGCAGGCTCGCGGAGGTCTCAGGTCTTGTGCTCGGGCGCCCTTCAGGGACTTGGGGAGCCTCGAGTCACCTGAGCACTTTGGTCTGAATGGAATCTCATGTTCATTCTCTATACTGTGTATACGGGGTGCCTGTTTCTCCATCTTTGTTTTCTTGAGCAGTATAGACATAACTAGACAGAAACAGGAAGCTTGGAAGCCCACCTGCTGAGGCTTTTCCCTTTGGCTGTAGGTGCTGACAGACATCAGAGCTGACAAAGACCAAGCCAATGATGGGCTGTCCTCCTCGCTGCTCATCTTGTACTTGGACTCGGCCCGGAACCTTCCGGTAGGTGCTGGTTTCCTGGCAGCAGCCCCTGCTGGGTTTAGCCGTGTGCTCTCTGCTCGTTGCTGTGTTAGCCCGTCCCCGCGGCCCAGGGGAACAGCGGTGGAGAGGGGCACAGGTGTGTTCCCTTCATGGACGTAGTCTTACGTCTCCATCTTACTGGCTTACCCAGGGTGGTCAGAATTAGCTGACGTGTTTCAGCGCACAGGAAAAGAATACACTTAGTAGTCAGGAAAGAAAACACCCTGTGGAGAAGTGCTAATTACTGAAATTCGTGCCTGCAGATGAAAATCAAATCCCTTTGGCATCGCCCCGGCCGTGGCACGGCGGGGTGAGGGGCCGCATGGTGGCAGGGATGCACACAGCTTCTAGCCCCAGGCACGCACTGCTCATTGTGGCTGGCAGCATTCAGCCCTTAGAAACACTGTGGAGAACAGTTTCATAGACGGTGACCAGCACAAGGAGAGGAGGCGGCATGCCAGCCCTGCGGTGGCGCGGCTTCCACGCTGAGGGCACTGCCTTGTCATCGGAGCTCACCGTGTCGACAGCATGTTTTAGAGCCCGTCTGCCTGTTCAACAGATGGCCTGTCTACTCCATTTCATCGTGTTGGAGGCAGTTTTGTTGAAAGAAAGACTGCTGTCTCCAGAGACAGGGTGTTTCCTCCTGAGATGTGATAATCAGTGCCCAGTCACCTGAGAGCCCCATGCGTGCCCCGGGTGCATCCTTGGTGTGGGTGGGTGCCTTGGTATCCCACCTGACCATGTTCACACCACCCTGTACCTTTACCTTGTGAAATGCACACCCTAATTCTGTTCAGCACCTCTCTAGGGTTTAAATGGTACATTACTTGGGCTTTGCTCAAAAGCAAACTCGATGTATTTTGTGCATCTCTGTTTTATTTAAAATTTTTAACAATTAAAATCTGATTGATCATCTGTTTTTTTCATTTTGCAAAGATGTTAACTGAACTGTGTTTATGAATGTATATAATTGTACCCTTTCTTTCAGTGAAGATTTAACCTTTCTGCAGAATTACTTGTACGGTAGAACTTTTTATTTTTAACCACAATTTAAGTTTTAAAGCCTTTTATAATGCCTGATGGGAGTGAATTTGTTGTATACTTTAGAATAGAGGAAAGTAGTGCTGAACTGGCTTCTCTTTAGAACTGTGTGTTTTGTCACATTAAATTAAAATGGAATAATGTCACATAAGCAAGAGACAGAAAAGTGAATGTATTAACCTGCTATTAAAAGGGCACTTTGTGCATGAAGTGTGCTCTGGCCATCAGAGGCAGAGGATCTTGAGCAGACCGCCGCCCTGTGGGCCTGTTTGTATGGGAGTGTGCGGCGTCCCCGCGTCTCCGTGCGGTTCTCTGACTCTGCCTGTTGCATCCTGGGTTTAGTGCTTCTGTGCCTCCATTGACCACAATCCACCATTCTTTGCTTTCTCCTCCCATTTCCACTTTCCCAAGAGTATCTACGAGGGAAACTTTGGGTGTGGCTACTTAAAAGAGAGGCGAGCGTCGGGACTAGTGTTTTGTGAAAATACTGCCTCAGTCTATAGAGCACTATTTGTGAGTTCTCAGTGTTCTTCCTTCTTGTGTTTGGTGGAGACTGCTAGAATGTGGACTGGAGATTAATGCCGTCTGCTCAGTGCCGGAATGACGTGCATGCCTTTCAGTTTTGCATGATTTCAGTTCCTGTGAGTGTTGCTTTCGTGCCTGTTTTGTGAAACGTAACTCTGCTGTAACTAACGCTGGTGACTGCATCTGGTACCGAGGTGGGCCAACCCCATGAGCCATGGAGGAGCCTTGGGCTCTGACGCCGCTCCTGGCCCTGAAAATTTTTTTTTAAAAAATCATCTGAGGAAACAGTGAAGCCATAATGATTAAAATGGATTTTCTTACGGTTCATCTCAATGTGAGATGTAAATATTTCTTTGCAAGCTTTCAGAAATCTTCCTTAAATCTGCTTTCTCCTCCTGACCAGACACAAGGGGTATCAGAGCTTGGCTTTCCGTAAAGTCCCCGTGGCCCTGGGAACAGTGGGTGAGACAGAAACTCACTGCTGCCTGAAGACGTGCCTTCTCCCCCGTGTACCCGGAGCTCCTAGGGGGAAGAAGTGTATATTGACTTTGCGATTCGCTGCTTTTAAGGAGCTTCAAGAATTCCTGGGGTGGGTAGTTGAGCATTCTGACCTTTATCTGGGAAGTGGTTTTCATCCCCTGTGTTTCCTGAGTCCGTGCTCTGGAGCCCAGGTTCCTGGCACTGTTCTGGTCCTTTTAGCAGAGTTATTTTCACTTGCTTTGGGCTCAGAGAAAGCCGATGGCTTAGTCCTTAGTCTAGAAACTAATTATTGATTTAACTCAATAACTAGTAAGATTCTTAAAGCTCATTTGTTTCATTTTCATTTGTTTTCATTTTTATTTCAGCATGCATACTCAGTTTATTCTTATTTTTAAAAAGAAGGGGCGGGGAGCAAAACTGAAAGAAGTGGCATTTTGTCCCATTTGATGGATGAAGACAGTCAAGCCAAACCCCTGAAGGGTGGGTGAGCTGCTGTCTCCTCGCAGACCCCGGCCCCTGACCAGCTGCTGGGGGGTCAGGAGGAGGCGGTTGTGCTTCTGGCTGCTGCTTCCGGTCACTCCCAGGAGTGTCCTGGTGGGGGCCTGTGCTGGAAGCTGCCGCCCATGCCAGCCGAGCTGGCTGCACAGTTACTGTTTTCTGTAACTGCTCCTTTTATAGGAAATGCTTCTGACCTCGTGTCGGGATTTTTTAAATTGCTTTGTTATACTTAGCTAAGGTGTTGATTTACCCAAACTAACTTTCCTCCTGAGTTATCAAAACCACATACTCTGCTTGATGATTCAAATAGAGGTGTCACCAAAAAGTTCTGCAAAACGAATCTGGATAGATTGATCACTTCCCCTGCTCTGGTTTTCAGTATGTTGTAGATCTGTCCCTTTGTCAGCTGTCCCCAAAGGCTGAGCCTGTTGCTATTTCCAGTGGAGGTTTTGGGTGGCTGCCAGCCCCACACTCTGGTACCTTCTGCTGCTCGAAACGCTCCTCCTGTTCAGCCCCGTGAGTGTGCTTCCACTCCTGGTCCCGTCTGGAAACCTCAGCACACAGGCCTTGCTTCCTAGCTGGGAAGGGCCTCTTTATCCTGCGGCGCCAGCACTTGGACCTCCTCTGGCCAGAGGAACAAGAGGGTGTTTTCTGGCCCCCAGAGGCCTCCGTGACCACATGCATCTCCTGAGCACTTTCCAAGGGCTCTGCGTGCAGAGCTTATTGCGTCTCAGGCCAGCGGGATCCCTTCTCAGATGAGGTGCTGAGAGTAGAGACCAGGGTTGCCTCTAGGAAGCCACAGAGCCCGGATGATCTGAACTCAGCCGTGTGACCCAGAGCGCACATTCTCCACCCTCCTGTCTAGTCCATCCTCGTATAAAGTGAACTTGTTACCACTTCATTAAGTCTTGAGTTCATAGTGCTGTACATGGAGTTTATCTGAGAGGGCGGTGTTTGTACTAATGTCCACTCCATCCATAGAGATGCTGGATGTGGTGCTCCTCAGCACTCTGTTAAAAGTAATTTCAGCTCTCACTTGAAAACAGCACAGGTGACTGTTTGTGGTGAGTCGCCTCAGTGCCGGCAGTGCAGTGATGTCCAGGGGCTTCACGTTGGGCCCCCCACCGAGCTCTGTCCACCTGCTCTATCACACTCCAGGCCTGGGCAGCCTCCCACGCCCTCACGTGGCTCCTCTTGCTCACTTAACCCACACCACAGCCTCTCTCCTTGCATCACGTCAGCTGATGCACGCTGCAGTAACACGCATGCAGTAAGGTCACGTCTGTATAGAGGGAGCTAGCTGCAGGGCGGGTTCGTGATGTCTTCAGGCAGCTCTCCTCAACCTCAGGGCTGCACTTACCAGCCCGGCCCAGGGGATCTGCTGGACCCACTGTTCCAGGGTGCTTCATAAATAACAACACTGAATTTGAGGTTAATTCCAACTCAGGTGATAAAATCTTTCATCTTAAATGTTAATCCTCAAAGGATCTTGCAAAACAACTTTATCTTGCCTTTTTGAGGGCAATAAAGTAATGAGTTTTTAAAATCAATAAAAGTAGGACATAAAACCCGTAATAATAATAATAATAGAATAGTAGAACTTTAAAGCGAGGGGGAGCTTTTGAGATGATCTGATCAGCTTCTGCATTGTATGCTTATAGAAGAGTGGGGAACAAGGTAGATCAGGTCCCATCTTTGCTGTGATTTTTTTTCCACGAGAAGATAAAGTTCAGAAGGAAGAAAGGTAGCATTTGCTGTTCCAGTATATGACTGGTTTGAAAGCAGTTGGGGCATCTCTGGCCCATTGATTTGCACTTTAGATGAAACCTTAAGCTTAATTATGGTTGAAATTTTATGATTTTTTTTCAAGGGACAAATCCTAGGGTTTGTTCAAGCTAAGGATAGTAAACAGAACCCTTTCCTCAGGTGTCATTTTTGGATTTTTCAAATCCCAAAGACAAGAGGGATGGGAGTAAAAGAACAGGGATATAGAGGCTGATCTGTTTTGATATTTACAGATTAAAGGTTTAGTCTAAGAAAATCTTGGGCATAAAGAATACTTTTACAGCTAATATTTACTGTTTCTTTGTGTAATTCTTGGTGGGTTTTGTTTAAAAAAGTTTTTGTTCTCATAAGTTTTCATGTCATTAACCTTAACATAAACTCCTCATTGCATGTTTATTAACCCTTGGTATATTCATTTTCTTCTGACTTGAAAGAGTAACCCATTAGAATTTAACCCTGATGTCTTGAAGAAGGCTGCAATTCAGAAAGCTTTAAAGGTAAACTAATAGTTTTCCCTTCAAAAGTTGATGAAAACGTATTGAAAGAGATGATGCTTTAACCCGTATAGGTTTATTGACAGATTCTTCACAAAGTAATAGAGTCATAATTACTTGTTTAGTTGAAAAGAGGCTACTTTCATTGTTAAAGAATTTAGTAGTTAGAAGAATTTAAATCAACTTTGATGATAAATTTGTAAGGTATCAATGTGGTAAATTAGACTTCTGTACTGTTGGCCTTAGACAGCAGTATCTAAGGTGCTTTTAAATCATCTGTACTTTAATTCTATTTGAGTTTGTGAAATGGCGAAATAGAAGTTCTGTTCAAAATCATAACCAATTTCTAGATTATGATTAAAATGTGTGCCCAGTGCACTGTGACTTTCCATTAAAAAATCACCTCTTCCAATATGCTGCATCAGGGCCATCTCTGAGTCGGTGACCTCGGGCTTTTGGTGCTGCTCGTTTGGGTGACAGATCTTTCGAGAAGCTTTAAATTTCATTAAATGAGGTATATTGAAAACTAAGCTCCACTTCTTAAAACAACATGAGCATGTATTTTCTGGCTAAATTAAAAATGTTTTATTATTTTTTTTCTGATTTCTTTGAGGCCTTATTTTAAGCTTAACTATTTAGAGGGATACGTGAGGAGTTCGGTGTAGTTGTTTTAATTCTATGCAAAGGAATCAACAGTGGGTTTTGATCAGTTTCATACAGAAGAATAAGTTAAACTTCAAAAGAGGAAGACTAGCATTCTGCTTTGATACAGGATTTAGAAAGCCCTTAGCACACCCCACTCTGAGGAGTGGAGGTGGATCTCCTTTGGAGTACTAGTTGGTTAACGGGGTAGTTCCTCAGAACGCTGGGAGGGAACATCTCCACAGCCTTGACCCACCATTTCTTTGGTAAGGGAAGATTATTGACCCGCAGAGGATGATGGCTAGAATGAAGGCTCTCCAGTTAGACTAGACTATCTGGGCTGCCCAGCCAGCCTCGCGTCAGTGGGCCCTGCAGTAGGCAGCAGAGTCCTCCCGGCTTTGTTCCTCAGAGCGGAGGTGACGTTCTCATCCCTGTGGGAGTGCTGAGTTTGTTAACTGAGATCGGTGCATTTAAAGTGCCCAGTGTAGCTAGCAGAATACGTATATTTTTAATTGCTATTGTGTTTTATCTTATTTAAGCCTAACAACTCGGTTCTGGAAATGGTTTTACGCCAATGAAAACTGAGGTTCAAATAAATGAAATACACGTAGATCTTAGTAATCAACCAGAGAAAAGCTAAGATTTAAATTCAAGACAGTCTGACCTTAAAAGCTCCTATTTTCATTATACCCCGTGTGTCTGTCTTGTGCTCAAGCATTTTGAGTGTTGCGTCCTGATAGAAGACTTAGTCACTGATTTAACCTTGTTTCATAGCATCCAGAATATCATCCATTTCAGGACAGTCAGCCCTCGGTGTCCGCGGATTTTGTATCCATGAGTTCAACCAATCTAGGATCGAAAATATCCTGGAAAAATCTATAGAAAGCTCCAAATAGCAGAATTTACATTGTGTTTACAGCTATTTACATAGCGTTTACACACTTTATTAGGTATTATATATAATCTGGAGACGACGTAAATTATACAGAGGATAATACTAGGTCATTTTATAAGTGAAATTTGAGCATCTTTGAATTTGGCATCCTGACAAGGTCTTGGAATCAACCCCCCAGCAGATACTGAAGAATGACTCTATACCATTATTTTATATACGACTGAGAAAGAAAACATGGACTTACCTGCTGGCCCAGTGGTAAAAACCCACTTGCCAATACAGGAGACTGTAGTTTCATTCCCTGGGTCAGGAAGATCCCCTGGAGAAGGAAATGGCAACCCATTCCTGGATTCCTGCCTGGAAAATCCCATGGACAGAGGAGACTGGCAGGCTACAGTCCATGGGGTTGCAAATAAGTCGGACACGACTTGATAACTAGATAACAACAACAAAGAAAGAAAATAAGGTGCCAGTTAAGGTTTGATAGCATTTATTTTATACTTACTAAAAGAATTTTTAGACTTAGGATAAACATTTTTTAGGATGCCATTCACACACACACAAAAGGAAAATAAAAGCAAAATAAATTGGGGAAGGCAGTGATAGCTACCATTCTGCTATAGTCTGCCCCAAAGCAGGCACTTAAAGTCATCCATTGTAAATTTTATTTGTTTTCAGAGATGTTAGAAAGTTTAGACAAGGGACTGGGGGTATGTATTTAAATTGATAAGCTACAGTAAATAGGAATGAATGGCTACTTTTTCAGAGATTAAGTGTATAAAGTTAGCTTCTGTATCAAAAATGCAAAAGTAGCAGTAGCTTAAGTAAGACAGAAGTGTATTTCCCTTGGATGTCACAGAATGCTGACTTGTGGCTTTGTGGTGCTCCATACCTCCAGCCAAAAGGGGCACACAGCAAAAGCAAGACCCCTAGACCATTATGGGGCCACACCTACCCGAAAGGAGATTCAGAAACAGAATCCATGTCACACAGGATGTCTGCTCAGCTACAGCCCCAGGGCTCTCATGTTAAGGGAAGAAGAAGTGGATTCAGGGGGAAATTAGTATTCTCCCGCAGTAGTCTGTCACCTTGGTGTTTTTTTTTTTTAACAGTGTTTATTTCATTTTGCAGAATTAATTCACATCAAAAAGATGAACCAGAAACTAGATTATCACAGTAGGTTTGGGCTAGTGATATTTTATTCCAATAATCATAAATTTGACACCTCTGTCATTGCTGCAGTGTTGAGGATTGACTCTAAAATTATTTAACTTAAAAACATTTTGTGACTTTATTCTAATTAATTTTCACTAACACAAATATTTAACTGCATCTTCTTGTGGGGCTAAGTTATAAATAAACCTCATATATGTTGCTTTTTACCGTGTATTCTTCTATCAGCTGTCTGTACTAAAGTATGCTTCTTACCATTTTAACTTACGCCTGAATTTTTCTCATTGCATTCGTATCTGCTTAAATGCAATTTAGATTGATATCTATTCTTCCAGTCAAAATTATTTAGCAGCTGGTAAGCAAGATTTGATGATTGCTACATGTTCAAACAGAAGATACTAAATTAAAAATGTAAAAACATGCCTCTGACACATTAGTATTTTTAAGATTCCAACCAAAAAAACTGTCCTGAATCACATGCTCTCACATTTGTCCTTCCTGTGCTGTTCTCTCTCCATTTGTTTCACTTTATTCAGTTTGTTACCTGAGTTTTCAGAGCTGGAATTAACATGAAAGATTTTCAGAACATTCCATTTTTCCAGGGTTGCTTGCTTTAAACGTAAAAGACCTTAACATTTTAAAATTGTTTGCAAATACAAGTTTCATTGATTTATGTAGATACAGTTATGGCTTTGGGGTGTGCTTAGCAATTAATTGTTTTCCACTTAAATCGTGTCTAGATACTCCCTGTAGCTGAAGTATCAGAAGTAAATAGAAATGACTGTTAATAGAAGCAGTAATTCCATTTTTAGTAATCCCTGTTTCAAGACATGTTTATTGATTTTATCTATTTTTTCTTTTTGGATAGTCTGGGAAGAAAATAAACAGCAACCCAAATCCTCTTGTCCAAATGTCAGTTGGTCACAAGGCCCAGGAGAGCAAGGTAAGGTGGCGACTCTTGACTGGCCCCTGTGACCTTGTGGCCACAGGCACAGTGGAGGGGGGGGGGGGTGCAGGTATGGAGGCTGTTGACTTCCATGTTTTTGTTTTGTATTCTCAAATCAGTCATTTGATAATGAGCTGTTTAATTTGGAATAAAATATATTCACTTAAAAATAACATGAAAAAGACATGAATATGTTAATTATGCTTTTGCTTGATTTCATGGGTAGATGACATGGGGCAAGTTTCTAAGTTTCTTTTGAATGCACTATTAATATTTTGTTTAGAAGGCAACAGTGTACTTAAAATTCAAGAAATGTTAATTGAATAGAAGACATTGCTGTTGCTGTAACAAGTGCTGCTTTCAGGAAACATTTTGGGAATTCCTCCCTTTTTTTGACTGCTAACCGTTAATTTACGAAACTTCCTGACGAGCAGCACCCCACACCCAGGGGAGTGGGGGCTGTCCGTGCAGGTGACACGCTGTGGTGGGGCCAGGGCCTGGGCTGGGGGCTGCTGGCAGTCCTCTCCCGACACACGGCAGCTGGCACAGTTGACGTCTAGTAGCACGGCCCAGCTTGAGAAGGGGTAGGCTGCCCACTCCAGTGTTCTTGCCTGAAGAATCCCAGGACAGAGGAGCCTAGCGGGCTACAGTCCATGGGGTCGCAAAGAGTTGGAGACGACTGAGCACAGCACAGCCCAGAAAACAGGTGTCATCTCCGCTTCCACACACCGTGCTGGCAGCACTTGTCCACAGAAACATCTTGGAACTGATTCAGGATATTGTTTTCAGATTCGGTACAAAACCAACGAACCTGTATGGGAGGAAAATTTCACCTTCTTCATTCACAATCCCAAGCGCCAGGAGCTCGAAGTAGAGGTAATTTATTTGCATGTTTACATAGATGTGTTTATATCTCCACATCACACAGCACGCAGAGAACTGCCACCAGGGACCCACCAACCAGACATGTTGCTGTTGCAAGTGTTAGCAGCAGGGCAGGAGGAGTTAGTTCTTAATTTTCAGCTTTTGGCCGATTGTTCCTGGTGTCTAGAACTGCAGTTGGCATTTGTATGTTGGCGTCACTGTCAGCCTTGCTGTGCGTGCTTGCTCTGTAGCTTGTCTGTGGACATCCAGGGCACTGCTGTGTGCTGGCTGCTCCCAGCCAGGGCACTTCCCTCCTCCCTTGCCTCACTGCCCGCCCAGCCTTGGCCTTAGTGGGCACTTTTGCCTCCTTCAGGTCCTGAGGCACAGCCTTCATGTTTCTCTGTTGCTAAGTCTGATGCTGGAGGAAGTTTCTTTCTACTTCTGCTGGTTTGCTGTAGGTTTTTGTCATGAGTGGATGTTGAATATTGTCAAAGACTTTTCTATGATGTTTGAGATGATCTTGTGGTTTTTCCTTTTGAAGTTTGTAAATATGGTGAAATGCAGTACTGATTTTCAAATCTTAAATTTTGTAAACCTATATTGATTTTCAAGATTTAACATTAGAAAGCCTTGCAAGCAAACTTTTTTTGGGGAATAACCCTGCTTACTTATGATGTAGTATCCTTAAACTCAATTTAACTTGCTAAAATTGTACTAAGAATTTTTGCATCATAAATAAGAATAAAGGTGTGTTGTGCAACACAGACAAATAGAGCCATTATTTTGTAATAACTTTAAATGGAGTTTAGTCTATAAAATTATTGAATCACTTTTGTACACCTGAAAATAATGTTATAAACTATACTTCAATTTTAAGAAAAGAATAAGATGGGATAATAATTTTAAAAGATAATTTTTGCACTACAACCCAGGGATTGAACCCTTGTCTCTTGCATTCCAGAAAGATTCTTTACCCACTGAGCCACATGGGAAGCCCACTCATAATCTATAGTAACTGGACCTTGAATTTACAACAGTAACTTTTTTTTTTAATACTTTTTTTTCCCATTTATTTTTATTAGTTGGAGGCTAATTACTTTACAACATTGCAGTGGTTTTTGTCATACATTGAAATGAATTAGCCATGGATTTACATGTATTCCCCATCCTGGTCCCCCCTCCCACCTCCCTCTCCACCCGATCCCTCTGGGTCTTCCCAGTGCACCAGGCCCGAGCACTTGTCTCATGCATCCAACCTGGGCTGGTGATCTGTTTCACCCTAGATAATATACATGTTTCGATGCTGTTCTCTTGAAACATCCCACCCTCGCCTTCTCCCACAGAGTCCACAAGTCTGTTCTATACATCGGAGTCTCTTTTTCTGTTTTGCATATAGGGTTATCGTTACCATCTTTCTAAATTCCATATATATGTGTTAGTATACTGTAATGGTCTTTATCTTTCTGGCTTACTTCGCTCTGTATAATGGGCTCCAGTTTCATCCATCTCATTAGAACTGATTCAAATGAATTCTTTTTAATGGCTGAGTAATATTCCATGGTGTATATGTACCACAGCTTCCTCATCCATTCGTCTGCTGATGGACATCTAGGTTGCTTCCATGTCCTGGCTATTATAAACAGTGCTGCGATGAACATTGGGGTGCACGTGTCTCTTTCAGATCTGGTTTCCTCGGTGTGTATGCCCAGAAGTGGGATTGCTGGGTCATATGGCAGTTCTATTTCCAGCTTTTTAAGAAATCTCCGCACTGTTTTCCATAGTGGCTGTACTAATTTGCATTCCCACCAACAGTGTAAGAGGGTTCCCTTTTCTCCACACCCTCTCCAGCATTTATTGCTTGTAGACTTTTGGATAGCAGCCATCCTGACTGGCGTGTAATGGTACCTCATTGTGGTTTTGATTTGCATTTCTCGGATAATGAGTGATGTTGAGCATCTTTTCATGTGTTTTTTTGCCATCTGTATGTCTTCCTTGGAGAAATGTATGTTTAGTTCTTTGGCGCATTTTTTGATTGGGTCATTTATTTTTCTGGAGTTGAGCTGGAGGAGTTGCTTGTATATTTTTGAGATTAATCCTTTGTCTGTTGCTTCATTTGTTATTATTTTCTCCCAATCTGAGGGCTGTCTTTTTACCTTGCTTACAGCTTCCTTTGTTGTGCAAAAGCTTTTAAGTTTCATTAGGTCCCATTTGTTTATTTTTGCTTTTGTTTCTAAAATTCTGGGATGTGGGTCATAGAGGATCCTGCTGTGATTTATGTCGGAGAGTGTTTTGCCTATGTTCTCCTCTAGGAATTTTATAGTTTCTGGTCTTACATTTAGATCTTTAATCCATTTTGAGTTTATTTTTGTGTATGGTGTTAGAAAGTGTTCTAGTTTCATTCTTTTACAGGTGGTTGACCAGTTTTCCCAGCACCACTTGTTAAAGAGGTTGTCTTTTTTCCATTGTATATCCTTGCCTCCTTTGTCGAAGATAAGGTGACCATAGGTTCGTGGATTTATCTCTAGGCTTTCTATTCTGTTCCATTGATCTATATTTCTGTCTTTGTGCCAGTACCATACTGTCTTGATGACTGTGGCTTTGTAGTATAGTCTGAAGTCAGGCAGGTTGATTCCTCCAGTTCCATTCTTTCTCAAGGTTACTTTGGCTATTTGAGGTTTTTTGTATTTCCATACAAATTGTGAAATTATTTGTTCTAGTTCTGTGAAAAATACCACAACAGTAACTTTTAAAGTTCTGTAAACTTAGTTATTTCATTTAAAAATGCTTTTGTGTTTACCGTTTAAAAAATAAGCAATCAGGCTTTTAGGTTTTCATGTGTAGTTAACTTATTTGATCATTTTTTGTATAGTCTATGAAACCATCAAAGTTCTTACTCTTTTTGTTTAAACAATCTGTAGCATGACAATCTAACAGGAATAATTCCTGTTGTAGAGCTAGAGCTGAAAGTTATTATTCAGCAGCCAGATACTGCCATGCCTTTAGAGCAGGTATTGTAGATTTTGAATAGAAAGCTTAAAAGAAACTTAGAAATGTGTCTTCTCCATAAGCAAGTGTTTATGTTTATCCAGTAGAAACTTGGCACAACACCAGGAATGTGTATTGCCACCATTTTCACAGGATTTAAGACATTTCTTTCTAATGTTCAGATTTGTGTGGACTGCTGCCTCTAGCTCAGGGTTCTTGTAGTGGATTCTTTGGACAAGACTTTCCATCTTTTATTCTCATTATGACTGTGATGAGGAGATGACCGGCCCTGTAACACGGATACCCTGTGACACCACTTGTTATAGTGTTGTGTCTCCCTGAGGAGCTCTCCTCCTGCCTCATTTATGGACACATGACTGAGAAGGGGAAGGCTGAGATGTGTTTTTGACACCCGGGTTTTGGGCCTCCTGCATTTTCTGTCTCTGTCCCGCGCTGAGCTGTCTGTGTGTTTGGCAGGTGAGAGATGAGCAGCACCAGTGTTCCCTGGGGAACCTCAGGATCCCTCTCAGCCAGCTGCTCGCCCGCGAGGACATGACCCTGAACCAGCGGTTCCAGCTCAGCAACTCAGGTCCCAACAGCTCGCTGAAGATGAAGCTCGCCCTCAGGGTACTGAGTCTCCAGAGTGGTTGGGGGGAGGGTCCCGGGTGGCTGTGTAGCTCAGGGGAGCAATGAGCAAGGCTTGTGCTCAGACGCAGATGGCAGCGGTGTTTCCAGGCTGTTGAGCAGGCCGGAACTGTTCCTCACACTTTCAGATGAATCCAACCAGTCTTTTTTTGTTGTTTTTTTGATCCTTTGGCCCAGAAAGTATTGCTATCTGGATCAATAAAGTTTTCTGCTACTGTTAAATTTTCAAAAGTCATTCAGAAGGGAGAATTTAATAAAATTCTGCAAGATGGTAGAAATCACAGGAAAAATAAATTTTGTCCAAAATAGACAATGATTCATTTGTAAGTACCTAAGGAAATGCTGAAAATAAAACTGGCAAACATATGGGAAAGTGCTAAAACTGTCTAATTTTTAAAATGCAAATTAAAATGAAGAACCAGCTTCTTAAAAAATTCAGTAGTCTGTGGAGGGTGTGGTAGAAACAGTCTCCTTGGGCCTGGTCACAGCCTTTCCAGGTGGGACCACAGTGTCTCCGGGTGTAAATCATAGAGCTCTTCCTCTGGAAGCCCAGCTCCTGGAGCAGCACAGCACTGGGGGTGTTGGCTGCAGTTTCACTTGGTAACGGTGGGGACCGGCTGTCGGTATGACCCCCGACATAGGCTGTGCAGCGGACGTGTGCACACGCAGAGCAGGTGTGGAAGGAGCACGCGGGGCAGGGCTGCTTGCACGTAGACTCTCGGAGTCCGGCAGCCTCTCCTTCCGTGATCGCTGGTGAGATGGCAGGATGGGGGTCGGTGGGGGAGGAGTTTATGACCTGGCTCTTCCTCCACGAAGCTGCCCCCACTGTGCCAAGAGTGGCCACTAGCAGAGGCCAGAGCGTGTGGCCCTGTTGGGTGGCCTGCACACTCTTGTTTTACACTTCCTGTGATGTGGTAGGATACCTAAATAGGTAGACTGCTTTGAACGTCGTGTGCCAGAGTTTAAAGAAACTTTGCAAATGAGGATCCCTACAGCTGTTCACACGTGAGCCTGTGACCAGCGTCAGCGGTTTTCATCCCGTGTCTGTTTTCACCCCAAGGTGCTCCACCTTGAGAAGCAGGAGAGGCCTCCAGACCACCAGCACTCGGCTCAAGTAAAACGGCCCTCTGTGTCCAAGGAAGGGAGGAAAGTCTCCGTCAGGCCTCAGATGTCTGCGTCGCCGGGCTCGGGTGACAGCGGCACGGCCCCATCCACGCCGGTCGCCGGGAGCGGCGAGAGGCCTGGCGTGGAGGAGCGAGGCCCGCCCGCGGAGGCCGGCCTGCAGGGCCCGAAGGACCTCAGCCGGAGCTCCTCCAGCCTCCAGGCGGGCCCCGCTGGCTCCCCCAGCCACGTCTCCGTCAAGGAGCCCACCCCAAGCATCGCCTCGGACATCTCGCTGCCCATTGCCACGCAGGAGCTGCGGCAGAGGCTGCGCCAGCTTGAGAAGTAACTAGACGTGCCCGCGCTCTTGTGGGACCGGCGCAGGGCCCACAGGCTGTGGGTGGGCAATGCAGTCTTAAGCAGATGGTTTCAGGCAGTGTGCCCCCTTCGCTCCCTGAGCCTCTGGTTTTCAGAGTAAACCTGCTATTTTCTGGTGCCTAGTGTTTGGCTCACTTAAAGCTTAAGAACAGTGGGGTGATCCTCAGGTCAGGAAGGAAGTGTCTAGAGTGAACCTGTTGGACCTTAGCCCAGGTCATGGAAAGGCCTGGTGGCAGTGGGGCATGTTTGTTGTTTGAGGACAGCCCTGCTCTTTCATGCTGGGTCCACACCCACCACACCGCCCAGCGCTTTGTCTGGGGATGTTTGTGTGGATTCCTCACTCACGCCAGTGCATCACAGGTGTGTCCATGGCTCCCTTAGATTAGGACAGGGTCTGCGGTTACCCTGAGGCTCAGATGTGAGCCTTTTCCTCTCGGCAGGAGGAGAGACTTGCCCTTTGAAGCAGCTTCCTCTGCTGCCCTGCCATGCTCAGTGTGAGGTGGGGCAGGCAGTGCAGAGAGCTCTCTGCTTCAGCCTGAGACGGGCCGGGGCTGTGACCTCATCAGACGACCCACGAGACTAGGGCCGGGGGCTCCAAGAAAGGAGCACAGATTCGGGCAGTGCCCGGGTAGACGAGGCCTCAGAAGGACAGAGTGTTGATGTCTGTACGGAGAGCCCCTGTCTTGATTTTACTTTGGGCCCCAGTTTTTAGAAGTTGGGCTATATTGAACCCTTGAGTGGAATGTGAATCCTGCTAGTCCGTTTGTGCCCAGAAGTTCAGACAGGGTTCCCATTTGTGGGTTTTTTGCCGCCACCTCGTGCAAGGGAAAGGACGTGCTCACAGGCTCTGAGCCGTCTGCAGAGCTCACTCTCCGCTGTTTCCCCAGTGGAACCACCCTGGGACAGTCCCCACTGGGGCAGATCCAGCTGACCATCCGGCACAGCTCGCAGAGGAACAAGCTGGTGGTGGTCGTGCACTCCTGCAGGTAAGCGTCCTCACGGAGCAGAGCAGGCAGGCGGGGCTCTGAGTAGGGACTGTGATCCTGGTTTGTTTGCTCTAATACTCCCTTAAACTGCCATGTTGTAGTTTATAAAACGTTCCCTGTTACTGAGCCTTTAGAACACAATACCGGGCGTATTTTTCTGTTTTTGAAGTGTCTTTGGGGATTCAGTTTCCAGAGCAGGTGACAGTCCAGAAGACCCAGGCAGGTCTGTGGGATCATGGCAGGAGCAGCTGCAGTCTTTCAGGAAGAGCAGACCAGAGCAGGGCGGCGAGTCCTCAGTGAGCACGGCACGAGACAGCAGAGCTGCTGCAGCTTGTGTTTGGTTATTAGTGAGGATGGTGTAGAGCTGTCTGATATATGTGACTTGTCGGTCTCACTAGTAGCTCTGATGTAAATAGGTGATATAAAACTTTGGATGTTCTAAAAAAGTGTTGGAAACAGGGAAGAAACATGATTATGTGAACATGTGGGTCAGTTCAACATGTGTTTATTTACTGAGCACCTCCTGTGTTCCTGCTGCTGAGGCGCTTCCTGGGAGAGCTTCCAGAGCAGCAGGCTGGCCAGAGGACCCTCCTCTGGGCTTCCGGGCTCCTCGAGATGAGTGAGCAGTTGGAAGTGGCTGCACGGACAGTTGAGCCTGGGACACTGTAGGTTTGAGCAGTGTGGCTACACCGACATGGAAGATTTTTTTTCAGTGCTAAATATCACCACCCTACACCACTTGCCGTTGGCTGACTCCGCGGATACAGAACCACATAGGTCCTTAACCTCCGTGTAGTTCAAGATCAGCTGTAATTAAAAACTAGGTGTGTTTGGCCCAGTTGTTGGGACAAGAGCAGCGAGGAAGAGGTGGGCATGTGTCTGTGACGGAAGGGTTCAGTGGGACGGAGGGTGGAGGAGGGCGTCTTCGGCCTGAGCAGGGGCCAGGGAGCGGTCCTGAGGACTGCAGCTGCACAGCCTCCCGGGAGGCTGACTGTCGCTCCCTCTCCAGGGCCTCCCGGGAGGCCGGCTGCATCCCTCCCTGGGAGGGCCGGTGAAGCGGCGTGGAGGGCGATGCCGTGGTTTCCCTGTTGGCAGCAGAGCAGGGAGTCAGAGCGTCCCCCGGACTCTGGGCTGAGGAGGTGGGGTCGAGGCCACCTTCGCGGCCACTGAAAGCCGTGAGCACAGGAGAGGACGGTCGCCTCCCTGAGCTCTTAGCGCCAGGATAAATGCAAAGTGGGGGAAGGTTCTCGTGTGGTGCTCATAGGCATAGTTCTAGACCCTAACCCAGTGGTCTCCGGTCTGTGTTACAAGAAATCTCATCGCCTTCTCTGAGGATGGCTCCGATCCCTACGTCCGCCTGTATTTGTTACCAGACAAGAGGAGGTCGGGAAGGAGGAAAACACACGTGTCAAAGAAAACACTGAATCCTGTGTTTGATCAGAGGTACGGTCCACACCGCCCTTTGAGGAAGGCCTGGTGGCGCCTGTGGGGAGACTGTGAGCGAAAAACACCTTCCTGTGAGCAGTCGGGGGCTTGCTGAGAGATTTGAGTATCACATGGACCCCCAGGCCACACCCAAGCAGTCTTGGCCTGCACACGTGTGGCTGGACCCCAGTCCTTGTGGCTCAGACACCACTGGCATCTGGGGAAACGACAAGCTGAATGGTGTTAGTGTCCACTGATTCAGTTTACATTCCATTGTTGAAGGTACTAGTTGCTTACTGTGCTTTCTGGCCGGTGACTTCATTTAAACTGAGGCCAGAAACCAATGAAGTAAGCACCAGTCTCGGTCAGCCACAGCCTCTACAAGTTTGGGGACCCATCTGCAAACCTGAGGTTCAGGCTGCTCACTCTGGGAAGACTGGCCTATCCACGTGTCCCTGCGAGGCCTCCGACCTTGTCCTTTGCTTTGCCAGCCTGCGAGCCTCCAGCAGCCTCTGGCCTCAGCCGCCAGGAGCTGCCTGCAGATGCCTCCTCAACGAGGCTGCCTTGAGGACGCTGGTCTTCCTTCACTCAGGGCTGTGAGCTCTCACTCCTTGGTCTGCAGGTGACAGACTGGCCTGGACTGCCCAGGTGTCTCACACCACAGCCCAGGTTTTTCCCCAGGAATCAGGCGTTGTGTACACACCAGGGAGCCACAGAGTCAGCTTCACATGTTTAGGGTTCCAGTCTCCTGTTGTGTTTGGGAAATAATGGCGGAGGGGGGGGGCCAGGTCTAAACATCTAGCCGAAGAGATCACTTCTACAACAAAGAAACAAAGATCATGTTTGGAGTGGACTCATAAACAGAAATGTCATTTTTTAGTTACAATAAAACAGCAAAATTATGGAGACGTGTAGGATGATCCTCTTTTTCCACTTCAGCTTTGATTTCAGCGTCTCACTGCCAGACGTGCAGAGAAGAACCTTGGATGTGGCCGTGAAGAACAGTGGCGGCTTCCTGTCCAAAGACAAAGGGCTTCTTGGCAAAGTAGGTTAAAAAAGTTCTGCGTTTTGTAAAAATTAAACACTTGACCCAGAGTGCACATTTTAGACTGGATTTCTGTACGTGGATAGTCCACGTCAGCTAAGCTGCCGTGAGTGGCTTGTGAGTCGGTATCGATGTGAATTATCTCCACCGACACTGCATGATAAGCTGCTATCAAGGCTGCTGGCTACAGGAAGGGCCTCTGGGGTATAATCGACTACAGGTCATGGGTGGATCCTAAGGGGAGAAAAATTGAAAAGCCAGACGCCCAAAATGCAAGTTGCCAGAACCCACTTCTAGAGGTGTTTTCTAACCCACAGGTACTGGTTGGCCTGGCATCTGAAGAGCTCGCCAAAGGCTGGACCCAGTGGTGAGTGTCCCCCACAGACAGACACAGAGCCCGTGAGTCCACTCAGGAGCACGGCCCCCGTGACCGCTTGTCTGCTATCTTCCTGTGTCTCAGGTACGACCTCACAGAAGATGGGACGAGGCCCCACGTGGTGACGTAGGCCGCACATCAGGAAGCCCTCGATGCAGCTGCCCGCCCTGCCCCAACACCCTACACACACACCCCGCAGACACACCCACGCTGCCCCGCACCGACACACCCCTCCCCCCACCGCCCGCACCGCACCCATGCTCTTTTTATAATTTCACGTACTTGGTTACTGGCCCCCTGACGGTTTTATAAAATGTTGATATTTTAGGCGTATTTCGCCAATATTAGTATTAAGTTTTGTATGTTTAAATTCCCTCTAGTATTTCACCAGTTGTTACGGCGTGTGTAGCATAGCGGCCAGCTGCTGTGTGTGTAAAGCTGTCTGTCGGCGCTCTCTCCTAGGAAGCCGATGTATGGGCCTGCTTATTATTGCCTTGTTTTGTATATCACTGAGGTGTACTATGCTATATAAAGAGACTATTTTTTATGATCTCTACATGCTGGTTTGAAATTCAGAGAAAATGGATCAAGGAAATATATATATTTTTTTTCTTCTAAAACTTATTAGATTCTTATTACAAATAATCATTTTTGTCTTTGCAGGAAAAAGTTCTCAGTGACCTATTTTGTGGTGTTTCTTTTTAAAAAGAAAAGCTGAAAGATTAGTAAATGCTAGTATATTTCTGCTCATTATGAATGGTAAAAGAATGTATGCAAAATATTTACACTTTCATAAATATAAAGATGTATTATAAGGAGTCAGTTGTAGTGCTTATAAGGAAAAATGTTGTATAACTGAGCAATATAAAATATCACAAGAATTGTCACGGTTCATAGTGCACTAATCTGAAATTTCTCACATAAAGTAGAATGTCTTAAGTTTATTTTTAGTTGCTTGTTATAACTTATTCATGAAACAGTATAGATACATAATCCTTTTCCTGAAATATAATACTTCAATGTTAGCAGTTAGTCTGTTGTGGAATTTTCAGTGTTTTCTCAGCTGCAAAAGAAAGACTTAACTCAGGTTGTCTCTGCAGAGGCTGTGAGACAGGTCGGGGTGAGCAGATAGGACATGACGTGGGAAGCCGCCGCTGGCACACACGTGTCGGTGTGACGCGCACGGGGCGGGGCTGACGCATGCGCGTCGGTGTGACGCACACGGGGCGGGGCTGGCGCGCGCGTGTTGGTGTGACGCGCATGGGGCGAAGCCGGCGCCTCCACCGTGGGGACTCAGGGGTCTGGGCACGGCAGCAGCAGGCTGTCAGTAACCTCCTACTGGGTTTCTTCACCTCATGCCGTGACTGACCTCAGTATTGGGATGTTGTTATACAACTTTTATTTGGGAGTATTGTTTCTTCTTAGATTAGGAAAAGCATGTTTTATATCCATGTATATAAAGGTCCCAAGCCTCTTGGGAGGTGAGATTCCATAGCCGTGCAGCAGCTGTGCATGCCCTGAACACGGTGCACGTGTGCAGAAAGCTTTAAATATTCTAAGCTGCGGGATGCAGATGACTTCCTTAGCCATGAGGACATCCTCCAGCCCTGTGCAAATACCGGGGGAAAGGCGGCTCTGAGCTTAGAGACCTCACCGTGCGTCCCACGTGATTCCTGGACGCTCGCGCGGCCTGACTGCCCAAGTGCCTGTGGACGCTGCCTCTGCTCTGCCTCTCCTGCCCTCGGGGCTCAGCTCTGGCCGGTCATACTTTGACCCCGGGGGCGGGGGGGAGCCCGGAGCTTCGTGGCACGTTTCTCGCAGCCGTGCAGACCCAGTGCCCTCGCAGCTTCCTGGGCCGTAAAGCGGCGAAGCCCCAGCAGAGACCACCTCCTCCATCAGCGCGGGAGGCGTTGCGAACCTGGTGGCACGCACAGGAAACTGACTGGTGTTTCAGCAGCAGGAGAAGAACAGGTCATCACTAAATCCACGGCCTGCCCATGGTTTTAGGTTTATTGGAGACTTTTTAAAAGTTGGGTTTGTTGTGGGAGTTCCCTGGCGGTCCAGTGGTAAGAGCCGGATGCTTTCACTGCCAGGGACCTGGGTTTAATCTCTGGTCAGGAACTGAGATCCCACACGCCATGAGGTACCCGCTGCTCCCCCCAAAAATCAGGTTTTTTGAAGGGCTTCTGGCATAATTTGTAAAAGAAGGGAAACACTCACTGAAATTTAGCACACCTGTGATTCCTGCCAACATCCCCAGTATTTGGGTTTTGTAGCCATGTACTTCACCTATTCAACATGTTTTACTTGATGAAATGCTTTATGTAAGCAGTTAGGCAAAATAAATGACACGAAAGGTGCAAAACCCAAAAAAAGCCAGTTAGCAGCACGATGCCCACCTTTGTGTGGACAGTGGGGCCTGGACAGACCCAGCAGCCAGCACCATTCTCTGCAAAGGGAAGGGATGACTCTAAGGCCAGGACTCTGCCTTTATGGCCGACGGGTGTTCAGAGGAAAGCTCTTGTGTCCGGTGGGGCAGCTGAGAGTCGGCTTTAGGCCAGACCCCCGGCTCCATGATCCTGGCAATGGACAGTCAGTTCTCAGAACCTTCATTGCCAGTTTTGAATAACTGCTTCATCTGGGAAAAGGGAACTTCAACTTTTCTACCTTGACCCAAGCCAATGGAGGGAAAATTAACGTTGCTTATTTTGAATTGTTACTTTATTGCTTATCCTGTGCCTTAAAGTGTGAAGTGTGAGGCCTTGCTTCAGGTTAAAACAGAAGACGCCTCGCAGCCGAGTTCACCACAGTTTATTCCTCATCAAGGGTCAGCCCTCCTTTGTCAGGAACTAAAGCCAAATGCAAATAGTGGTTGTTGCTTTAATGCCATTCTAGCTGGACCAACCCCTGCAGACGGAACACAGCAGAGGGTTTTTTGGTTTTGTTTTTTATTGTAAAATGCCCTTTTTCCTCAGCTAATTTTACATGGCAGTGCGTGTGTTTATTCAATAAAACTGTCTGTGTCATCTCGCTTGTGATTTATCCTTCCTGTCTTTTGAAGTCAGATTCCCAGTGTGGAGCCAGGCGATCTGAAAGGTGTGTGCAGCATAGTACTTGCATTTGTTACTTGTGAATTCTTTTGTTTTCAAAACTATATCAGATCACTGATATTACTCCTTAGTTTCCATCTTAATTTGACTCTTCTCTGCCTCTCTGACTCTGAGTTTTGAAAACAGCTCTTCTGAAAGATAATCATGAATAGAAAAAAACAAGTCTTTAAAACCAGAGCGCTGAGGAGTTGTGAAGAGGGTCTGGTTTGAACAAAAGGGAAACCACTAGAGGCAGTGTGACTGAGTCCAGGCTCACTCTGCTCACCACTGGATGGGCCAGTAAATCCGGGAGATGACGCGTTGAGGCCAGGAATACGACTTCATCGACTTTATTCAGAGAGCTGGCTGACCTAAAGATGGCAGGCTAACGTCTCAAAATAATCATCTGGACCAGGCTTGGATGCCAGGTTCTGTTATGTATCGGACATGGTGAGGTGAGAAACAAAGTAAAAAGACCATTTAATTTTTGCGAATAGCTCCTAGAACGGCAAGCCTCAGACGGGGGGGAAGGGTTAGTTTCATTTCCTTACAGCCATTTCACAGGTGGTGTGAAAAGGAGTATTTCCTGCCGTATCAATAAACAAGGATGAGCTAACAAGGGTTAGCAATCTGTCATTTCAGACCCCAAAGGTGAATTTTGAGCAGGTACCACTCCCTGGAATGTCACAGTCATTCACAGGTTGAGGGGGGCGGGGGGCAGTTTATCTCCCAGTGAGCTAAACAAAGTCACTTTAGCCCTGTTCCTGGCACACAGCTGATGAAAATATCTGTTGAATAAAGGATGTATAAACTTGGCAGACCTTAAATAACAATAACATGAACTTATCCTAACAAGTTTCCATTTAAAAAAAAGATAGCAATTGACAGTTCTCAATCATGGCTAAAGAGAAAGATAGGATGGACACAGTAAAGAATACTGTTGAGACAAAAGCCACTAGTATAATTATCTGAGAAGTAATTGAACCAGGAAGTCTGTTTTTGTGTTAATCAGGAAATCCTGGGCAATACAACAAGGACAGAAATAGGTTATAAATTTTGTCTTGGGAAAGAAGGTCGTTTTCAAATATGAGATTGTCAACGTGAAAAACCTAAGCAAGTCGTATGAAAACTCTTGAACAAGTATTTCATAAAGGACCAGTTATAAAAACATAGAAATGTCTGTGTCTTATACAAAAATAGGTACTAGAAAACAGCATGGAAAACATCCGACAGCAGGCCTGGCGCCACACTAGAGGTGAGACCTGCTCCCGATCAGGAGCGGGCGCAGTTGGGCTCCACTCCGCGGAACCCATCCCGGAGCACTGCCGCTCCGGGGTCCTGGGGGACCGTGTCGAAAACAGTCAGTGGCGGCTCTGTGACGCTGCAGCTCCCTGCGGTGGTGAGGCCAGTTGAGACCAACAGGAGACTGACCGAAAAATCTTAAAACCTGGGAGATAGATAGAAAAGAGGGCTTCGGAAACCTCTCGCGTCCCTGGGCGTCTAGGAAGGCGTGCTCGTGCGCAGGCGCATGAGTGAGGCTAGGCCGGTCACCTCCAGCTGTGCTGAGGCTCCGTCAGCGGGGGTGAGGGCCGAGCAGGACCACGTGATGGGGCACACACCAGCTCTTACCAAGCACCCGGAAAGTGAACGTCGCTCAGTCGTGCCTCTGCGACCCCACGGACGACACAGTCTATGGGATTCTCCAGGCCAGAACACTCGAGTGGGTAGCCGTTCCCTTCTCCAGGGAATCCTCCCCACCCAGGGATCGAACACAGGTCTCCCGCATTGCGGGTGGATTCTCTACCAGCTGAGCTATCAGGAAAGCCCAAGAATACTGGGACAGGAGTCCGAAGTATTAAAGAAACCTGACCAAACTGGCTAACAGGGCAGACTTAAGAGGCAGAATGTGACAAAGAATATGGCTTCTAGAGAATTTATCCAAGAAGGCTACTAAGTGAAAAATACCTGAGTCTAGGGGAGGTCTCTTAACTTAAACAACGTGGCCACACTGTATTATTTCAAATTTTCAACAACAGCAGCAGACATACCGAGAAATATAAGCCACTATATATACTATAAGCCACACACAGAGGAAAAAACAGTCATCAAATGTGCCCCCCAGGAAGCCCAGGTGTAAGCAGACACAGACCTTAAATCAGATATTAGGTACGTATGTTCAAAGAAAACTATCCAAAGAATTCACAGAAAGTGAAGTGTGGTTTTCAGCAAAATAGAGAATAGCAGGAAAGAGAAATTATCAAAAGAATGAAATATGAGTCCTGGAGTATAAAATACAGTACATGAAATGTAAATGTCACTGAAGTTCAACGACAGACTTGCGTTCACAGGAGAGTCGGAAACTGGAGGCTGAGTCGCGCAGACCATCTCCTCTCCTCTGAGCACCAAAAGCAGGGTGGAGCACGAACAGGCCACTCAGTGAAGCCCCAGAGGGGAGGGAGGAAGGGGACCGGGAAGAACACTGAACGAGAAGATGGGAAACACGCCCGGGTTTGCTGGAAACGTAGCACATTAAGGAAGCTCAGCAAAACCTCCCGCAGGAGAAAGCCAGAGGCCCCAGCAGGCGCGGCTCAGCCGAGCCGTAAGGAGGGAAGGGAGGGAGGGGGCCGTGCCCCAGCGTCTCTTCTCACCGTTACACCTGCGCTGCGAGGGCCACCCGAGCACGGACGTCGGCTTCCGCCATCGCCTCAGGAGTCGGCCCCCTGTTTCCACCGGAGTGGCCGGGCCGAGAGCGGAGACCCAGTTAGACCGGCCCGCGCGGCCCCGCACGCGTCTCGCCGTCGGCTGAGCGGACCCAGGGGCAGGAGCGACTGCAGCCGTGCCTGGCGAGCGAGCAGGACGCAGGGGCCGCGTCGCGGGGTCCGTGGGAAGGCGTCTGGCGTGCGCGGGCGGGGGGGGCAGCCGCCACGCACCCAGCTCTGCGCCGGCTGCAGGCCCCCGCGCAGCGGCCCGACGGGCGCCATCTGCTGCCCGCGGCCTGCCTAGGCCCGTGGGCCGGGACCTCCGAGGGCCGCGCCCCCCGCGGCCCCGCCCGGCCTGGCTGAGAGGCGGAGAACTGCTCCCTGCGGCACAGACAAGCCATGGTTTGTAACTGCTGCTTTCGTTCATTGCGGTGTAAGATAGAGAAATGTGCAGAAGCCCTAATGGCTGTGCCCTGAATTTTCACAGACTGGCTGCCGTGAGCCCACATGTGGTGACCAACAGCACCCAGGTGCCCCCCCCGCCCCGCCCCAGGTGCCCTTCAGCGCCCCCCACCCTCCCGCGGCTCCTCCCTACACTCGCCCTGCAGAGGGGCCTGGTCAGACCCTGCGCTCCACGGTTGTCTGGCTTCTTCCGGGCGACGTGTCGCTTGCAGCAGACAACGTGACGTCTCTCGCTCGAGTCAGTGGGGGGAGAGTAGGCGGCTGACAGCAGCGGCTGCAGCGGGGACTGCTGCTCGATCATCGCGGACTTTGTCACGGCCGCGCCAAGGAGCAGGGGTCACAGCCCCGCCACCGAGGCGCCCGAGGGCCAGGCCTGCAGCGGGGTGTGGGCACTCCGGGTCCCTTGCCCCCGGAAACCTCTGGTGACTTGGGATGCCTGGCCTGGCCCGCGGGCCCTCCACGAGCTCCCTGCATGCCCTGGGCCACACGCCCTGGGCAGTGCTTGCCTTCTGAGGCCTGGTGGATTCTACTTGAAGTAACTGCAGACGAGGACCTATGGGCCAGGCCGGACAGCACCACGGCAACCCCAGGAGGACGCAGTTGCAGGCCACACATCTCCGCGCTCAGGCTCCAGGCTGGTCCCGGTCCCCAGTCCCATGCGGGACAGTCGCACACAAGACACATGCTTTTCTAGAAGCTTCTCTACAATACAAAGTGTGGGGGAGGCTGGTCCTCACAGGTTCTGGGTCATTTCACTGCTGCCAACTGCAGGACTGGGTTTGTCCCCAAGGTAAAAAGCAAGCTGTTCACAGCAGTTTTCTAACTAAGCAGAGAAGTAAAGGTGCAGCCCTCTGTTCTGTGTGCAAGCCCGCCTCCATGTGATGGAGACGGGTTTTCTTTTGCTGGACTCTTCTTTTTCTTTTCACACTAAGATTTCATATCAAATAACCCAAGATTTCCTTTCACTTGTCTGCAATTTTGCAAGCTGCCTCAATTCAGCTTGAGAGGCTGAGCTCTTAATTGGTGAACACTTTAGCATAACTTAAATGAAACATAACACCAAGAGCTTCTTAGATCATTTTTTATGCAACAGTTTTCCCAAAATCTTGCCCGGATTGTCCCTCACGCCCTTCCAAGTGTGTGAATGCCCGCAACACGAGGAGCCAGATCTATCTGTTCTTTAAAGAGTGCAGAAAATGGCTTTGGGGAAATTTGGTTGTATACCCACATTGCCCTTCTTTGAAAGTGTAAACCTCTGAAATGTCTCGTTGACTTTTTCCAAACGTAAAAGGCCAGCTGCTTGTAGTGCTACCCACTGCTTGGTAACGTTTAATCAGCCCACTGCACACAGGACAGCACGCGGGGCCTGAGGGAGCAGCCCGTGGCCACGGACCAGATGTGCATGTCTGCCTGTGTCTGTGTGCACGAGCACGTGGGGATTGCCAGTGCACACACGAGTGGACACGTGTGTGTTGTGTGTGCATGTTGACTGTGCACACACCTGCCTCGTATGTTTACATGTGTGCGCACACAAGTATATGCATATGTGCTTGTGTTGCACGTGTGTATGGTGTGTGCATATGTATGCACTTTGTATGCATGTGTATAAGTATGCATGAGCATGTTTGGCTCTTCCAAGACATTCTCCTCAAACCCAGGGTTTCAGTCTGGATCCTCTTGAGAGTGGAGCCTAAGGCAAGACCCGTGTGCGTGTGGTTGTTTGGTAATGTGGGGCTGAGAGCGAGACTTCCCTTCTCTTCTGGTCTCTGAAAAGTTTGCATGAGAGAGTGATCACCTGTTTCTTAAAACTTTGGTGAAATTTGCCTATAAAAATTTCTGAGCCTGATGCCTTTCAGGAAGAATTGGATTACCATTCATTTTAACGTTTGGTATTAGCTTATTTTCAAGTTCTCATCAAATCAGTTTTGCAGACTATCTACCTCATGCTTCCCAATTTATTGGAAAACAATTTCTTTTGAATCTCTGTTGTGTTTGTAGTTGCAACTCCTTTTAATTCCCTAATTTCTGTGTACCTTCTACATTTTTCTTGATTAGAATTGCTAGAAATCCATTTATCTTATTAGTTTTGTGAAGAAGAAAAAAAGAAAGTAAAAGTGTTAATCGCTCAGTTGTGTCTGACTCTTTGCAACCCCATGGACTGTAGCCCACCCAGGCTCCCCGGTTCATGGGATTCTCCAGGCAAGGATACTGGAGTGTGTAGCATTCCTTTCTCCAGGGGGTCTTACTGACCCAGGGACTGAGCCTGGGTCTCCTGCATTACAGATGGATTCTTCACTATCTGAGCCACCAAGGAAGCAGATTAGTTTTGTAAAGATATTATTTTATTATGTCAATTGTTTTCTTTATATTAAATTCTGCTCTTGCCTCCCTTCTGTCTACCTTGGTTTACAGAGTTGAACATCAAACTTATTTTCCATCCTTCTTTTAGGACAATTAAATTCATCTAATGCTAGAAGTTTTACCCTACATACTGCTCTGCTTCCCCCCACCCCCAGTTTGGCTAAACACATGCTTTCATCTAGATCTAGATGTTTTCTAACTTCCATTGAGATTTACTCTTTATTCCTTGAGTTACACAGAACATTTTTTAAGTTTCCAAGCATGCTTCCCCCACCTTCTGGTTTTGGTTATGAATTTAATTGCACTGATGTCAGAGAAGATCCTCTTCATGAATCACTGCCTTGTCATGGTAAATAGGCTTGGGTAACTCAATGAAGCTATCAGCCATGCCGTGCAGGGCTACCCAAGATGGACGGGTCATAGTGAAGAGTTCTGACAAAACGTGCTCCACTGGAGGAGGTAATGGCAAACCACTCCAGTATTCTTGCCTCAAGAACCCCATGAACAGTATAAAAAGATGTAACACCGGAAGATAAGCCCCTCAGGTTGGAAGCTGTCCATATGCTACTGGGGAAGAGTGGAAGGTGGTTGCTAATAGCTCCAGAAATAATGAAGAGCCTGGGCCAAAGCGGAAATGACGCCCAGTCGTGGATGTGTCTGGTAGTGAAAGTACAGTCTGAAACTGTAAAGAACAATATTGCATAGGAACCTGGAATGTTAGACCCATGAATCAAGGTAAATAGGACATGGTCAAGCAGAAGATGGCAAGAGTGAATGAACATCAACATCTTAGGAATCAATGACCTACAATAGACAGGAATGGACAATTTTAATTAGGATGACCATTATAACTACTACTATGGGCAATAAACCTTAGAAGAAATGAAGTAGCCTTCATAGTCAACCAAAGAGTCTGAAATCTAGTACTTGGCTGCAAAAATGACAGAATGATCTTGATTGATTTCCAATGCAAACCATTTAGCATCACAGAAATTCAAGTCTATGCCCCAACCACTAATACTGAAGAAGCTGAAATTGACCAGTTCTATGAAGACCTATAAGACCTTCTAGAATTGACACCAAAAAAAGATGTCCTTTTCATCACAGGGGACTGGAATGCAAAAGAAGAAAGTCAAGAGATACCTGGAATAACAGACAAGTTTGGCCTTGGAATACAAAATACAGCAGGGCAGAGGCTAACAGTTTTGTCAAGAGAACACACCAGTCATGGCAAACACCCTCTTCCGACGACACAAGAGATGACTCTACACATGGACATCACCAGATGGTCAATACCAAAATCAGATTGATTATATTCTTTGCAGTCAATGATGAAGAAACTCTATATAGCAGAAATAAGACCTGGAGCTGACTCTGACTCAGATTACCAGCTCCTTATTGCAAAATTCAGGCTTAAATTGAAGAAAGTAGGGGAAATCCCTAGACCATTCACACATGACCTAAATCAAATCGCTTATGATTATACAGTGGAGCTAACAAATAGATTCAAGGGATTAGATCTGGTAGACAGAGTGGCTGAAGAACTATGGACAGAGGTCTGGAACATTGTACAGGGGGTGGTGACCAAAGCCATCCCAAACAAAAACAAATGCAAAAAGGCAAAGTGTTTGTCTGAGGAGGCCTTACAAATAGCTGAGAAAAGAAGAGAAGCAAAAGGCAAAGGAGAAAGGGAAAGATTTACCCATCTAAATGCAGAGGTCCAAAGAATAGCAAGGAGAGATAAGAAGGCCTTCTTAAATGAATGATGCAAAGAAATAGAGGAAAACATAGAATGGGAAAGACTAGAGATCTCTTCAAGAAAATTGGAGATATCAAGGGAAAATTTCATGCAAGGATGGGCACAATAAATAAAGAAACAGTATAGACATAACAGAAGTAGAAGAGATTAAGCAAAGATGGTGAGAATACACAGAACTGTACAAAAAAGGTCTTAATGATCCAGATAACCACAATGGTGTGATCACTCACCTAGAGCTGGACAGCCTGGAGTGTGAAGTTAAGTGGCCCTTAGGAAGCATCACTACAAACAAAGCTAGTGGAGGTGATGGAATTCCAGCTGAGCTATTTCAAATCCTAAAAGATGATGCTATGAAAGTGCTGCACTCAATATGCCAGCAAATTTGGAAAAGTCAGCAGTGGCCACAGGAGTGGAAAAGGTGAGTTTTCATTCCAATCCCAAAGAAAGGCAATGCCAAAGAATGTTCAGACTACTTGACAATTGCGCTCATTTCACATGCTAGCAAGGTAAGGCTCAAAATCCTTCAAGTCAGGTTTCAACAGTAGGTGAGCCAATAACTTTCAGATGTACTAGCTAGATTTAGAAAAGACAGGGGAACCAAGGATCAGATTGCCAACATTTGTTGGATTTTAGAGAAAGCAAAAGAATTTCAGAAATATACCTATTTCTGCTTCATTGACTACACTAAAGCCTTTGACTGTGTGGATCACAACAAACTGTGGAAAATTCTTGAAGAGATGGGAATACCAGACCACCTTACCTGCCTCCTGAGAAACCTGTATGTGGGTCAAGAAGCAATAGTTAGAATCTTACATGAAACAACTGATTGGTTCAAAATTTGGAAAGAATTACAACAAGGCTGTATATTGTCACCCTTTTTACTTAACTTCTATGCAGAGAACATCATGGGAAATGCTAGACTGGATGAATCACAAGGTGGAATCAAGACTGCAGAGAGAAATATCAACAACCTCAGATATGCAGATGATAACACTCTAATGGTGGAAAGTGAAGAGAAACTAAAGAGCCTCTTGAGAGGGAAAAAGGAGAGTGAAAAAGCTGGCTTGAAACTCAACATTCAAAAAACTAAGATCATGGTATCTGGTTCCATCACTTCAAGGCAAATAGGAGGGGAAAAAAGTGGAAACAGTGACATTTTATTTCTTGGGCTCCAGAGTTACTGCAAATGGTGACTGCAGCCATGAAATTAAAAGATTATTGCTCCTTAGAAGAAAAGCTATGACAAACCTGGACAGAGTATTAAAGACGCAGAAACATAACTTTGCCAACAGAGGTCTGTATAGTGAAAGCTACAGTTTTTCTAGTAATCATGTGTGGATGTGAGTGTTGGACCATAAAGAAGGCTGAGCACTGAAGAATTGATGCTTTTGAACTGTGGTGTTGGAGAAGACGCTTGAGAGTCCCTTGGACAACAAGGGGATCAAACCAGTCAATCCTAAAGGAAATCAGTCCTGAATACTCATTGGAAGGACTGATGCTGAAGCTGAAACTCCAATACTTTGGCCACCTGATGTGAAGAGCTGAGATACTGGAAAAGACCCTG